TAGATGATGAATGATTTTTAGTAATGTCATCGATAATATGCGACGTTTCAAATTTTCATACTGGAATAATTTTCGGTTTGTAACTTTCCGTAGGAAGTTATTGTAATGGGCCGAAAATCGAAATTACATTACTAATTACAAATTACTAAATTACATTACATTACATTTCTCGACGTTTTGAAGTTTCTGAACATTTTGGCATACCTCAGAAAAAATGGATGTGTGTGTGTGTATGTATGTATGTATGGATACATTTCCAGTCACGTTTTTCGGGCGCACGGACCAACCGATTTGAATGGTTCTAAAAACATTCGATTCCTATTGATAGGAGAAGAGCTGATTAGTTTTTGGCAAAGGCAGTCCAGCCATTTCGAAGATACAGAGAGCTAAATGTGTGAAAAATGGCAGTTTTTGAGAGAACTAAGCGTCCAATTTAAATGATTCAAAAGAACTTTCAGCTTGTTTTAACAAAATAATTGATTTTGGAAAAAAAATATTTGTATCTTTTTTTTGTATATCGAAAATAATTCAGATTTTATTTTTAATTCTGACTATAGTTCTAATATACTTTAAAACAAATTTCAAGTCAACTTTGCAATTCAGTTTATATAATTCTTATATATTGGACAATGTTACAATTAATAATAATCTATTTGAAACATTCAGTATTCCTCGAAGTTTTGTTATGGTACGGGAAGTTCCAGCAATTTGCCTTAAGGCACGATGCCATCCCCCACTAGTTTTCAATGTGATTGAAAAACATTTGTAAGCGAAATAGTCATTTGAACAGAGTAAATATGTCATTAAGATTTTTATAACGTTTTGTTTTATACTTGATATCAAAAAAAACACGTGTTGTGTCGTAGTTTATGTAAGAATCATTTTTATTAATTTTTATTTATTAAAAGCACATTAAATAACAATAGTTCGAAATAAAGTTATGAGTTCTAGGAATCATTATATTTAATAAATAAAGTTACTCAAATTAATTCTTATTTTTTCATTAAATATACAAATGAGTTATCGATGCAATTTTGTTACAATCGAAGGCCATAATAAGCGATCATCTTTTCGTGGAATAGTATATGGTGTCATATTTAAATCAAGTATATTTATATCATACGATAATGATTTGAAAAAAAATATAAGCCTGATGTATTTTATATTTTACTAGTCTCATAATTACAACTGTTTCATTGCAGACCAACTTCATTTTTAGCGAATATGCACCGAATTTATAATTAGTTCTCTCTCCAGAATTTATTCCAATTTTTAAATATTTATAAAATGTATTAAAATCAAAAAGATGTCTTTTTAAATATATAAACATGCAGCAATTAATTTTATATGCTTATGTTTTATATTTCTAGTCAACATTATTGAACTACTATAATTTTGACCTGCTTGTATTAGAATGTATTATATTAGACAAGCTCGATGTTTACTAAAATAACAAGCAATTAATTTATAATTTGCTCCAATAATTTTATTTCAATATAGGCAATTACATAAATTCTGATGTAAGAAGTTACTTTAAATTGTGTTGCAAATCTGTGTATAAGAACTAAATATATCTTCAGTTTTCGTGCAATGTAATCAAGGTGTTATTCTTCATTGGTAAATTTGATCATTTAGACGTGATAATGGATTTTTAATCGTATGTCGTTTGTCGCCTTTTCTTAGAAGCGACATTTCTTTAGAAGTGCGGCATATGATGAGTAATTACGTGCTCACCGCTCATAGAAAATTATTTACGTAGGATATATTGAACACATCGGGCGTTTATATATATATATATATATATATATATATATATATATATATATATATATATATGTATGTATGTATGTATGTATGTATGTTTTTCTATGTATGATGTATGACTGAACATCGTTTGAGGTTCCGAACGGTTGCAGACCGCAACATCCGGTCTGAGACACCGGAACTACGTACATGTGCACACTTCATTGATATATGCATGTGTTCAATTATATATCCACTTTTGTGGGGGTGTTTAAAGATTGATTCTTGTCAGAGTTTTTTTTTTTGAAAAAAAAAACAGCAATAATTGTTTTATGATATTCAATTTACATCGCATATAAGTCACAATAAAATATTTTTTGACGCCACAATAGTAGTATGAAAATGTAAAATATATAATTTGCACGTATTACACACACTACAAATGCTAGTAATAGCTTTTCAAATAATTTTTTTGAGAAAACAAAGTAACTGATTCATCTATGGCAAAATCGGATTCTGTATTCAACTCATATATTTTACAGGTTTGTACTATACTGTACGTTATATTTGCTTTCAAAAAAACAATACATTTTTTTCATATTCACTGATGAAAACATAAAACTAATGTCGAAACGTTTTGCAACAATAAGACTATTACTAGTCTCTTTTCACATGATAAATTTTATATGTATATATTGACTACTATGATATTCAATTTTCAATATTTCTCCGAGATTATTATTGTTTTTTTTTAATATGTTTCAGTCCATTTTTCGTGAAGAATTCCAGTTTGAAATTCCACGCACGTTCAGACATCTGTGTGTATACGTCTTCGATAGAGATCGTCATCTGAGGCAGGACAGACCAGTTGGAAAAGTACGGACATTTTATATTTTAATATTTAGCAATTTTAAAATTTTGAACTTTAATATTAGTTATAATTATTTTATACCTGATTGTACATTACACATATATAGTACAAAGTTTCTCTCTGATATTTTGCCAAATTTCGCATCTGAATTGTTTTAAGACGAGTACTTCTGATATGAGTTTTTATTCAGTTTTATCCAAAATTACATTGGATTAAACAAAATTAAATTTTGTTTACATTCCTATTTTACCAACTCTTTCCTTTATTAGGTTGCCATACGTCGTGAAGAACTACAATCTTATGACCGTCGGGATCATTGGTTCGCACTCCGACCCGTGGACGCTGATAGTGAAGTACAAGGCGCTGCCAGGGTTCTCCTGGATTTTGAAAAGGGCCCCCCTAATTCTCTCTCGTCATCAGCTTCAGGCAGTGGAAATAAACTATCCCGCAGGCGAGGCATAGATGATGAATTGCCGGGAGTCGTAACCATGCAGCAGCAAAGAGCTGGATCTCTTCGAGAAAGGCGAATTAGGTAAGTATTATGGAAATATATATACTAGTGTTGTTAATCTAATTTAAAATAGCTAGTTACAAATGATGTTTAAGAGTCGATATTATAGAAGTAATACAATTTATTATAAACAAAACTATTTCTTACAAGATTCTACTTTCAATACAAAATTTTAGAATGATGAAGAATGTTTCTGTGGTAACCCCTTGGGTTCGCATCTTGTTTCGGATTCGATATCCACTTTGCAAATTGGCATCAAGCGGTAGTGATATCAGATGAGATTATAGATGGCATCAAGTTTTGGAGCATTGTTATATTGTTATTATCCAAACACGTGCGTTAATGCCACTAATATAAAATTACCCTTGTTCCTTAGATAACTCGAATACGCAGCTCGTCGACCGGAGCTTTGGCGCCGGGTCGACACGCCTGATGTTCTTGTTCCCGCGAAATGCAGGTACAGACGAATTAATCAAGTTATTTTTATTCCAGGACGGCTGCAAGTCCACTGAGCCATTCAGAAAGCCTCAACGCGCATTGTTTGTAGTCCACAAACACTAAAACAAAGCACAGAGACTGGCGGTAGCACATGTCCTTCCGTTTCTCCATTTGATCCTCCCTACATATGGCACCACCTGTACCTGGAGCACCCACACGTGTTACTGTACGAGTAGCTGAATGTGCGGAATTGGCCCTAAAGAACGGTTGCTTGCGATCCTTATGCAATTGTTACTGCCAGGTAATAAAATAATCATTTCATGAAATATTCTAGTTTTAACTTCCCGTAGGGTAAGTTATTGTAATGGGCCGAAAATCGGAATTGAAAATTTTTACATTTCTCGACGTTTTGAAGGTTTCTGAACGTTTTGGCATACTTCAGAAAAAATGGATGTGTGTGTGTGTGTGTGTGTGTGTGTGTGTGTGTGTATGTATGTATGGATACAAAATTTTCGTCCACGTTTTCGGGCGTACGGATCAACCGATTTGAATGGTTTAAAAACATTCGATTCCTATTGATAGGGAAAGAGCTGATTAGTTTTTGGCGAAGGCAGGTCCAGCCGTTTCGGAGATACGGAGCAAAGAGTGCAGAAAATAGAAATCGAGTTTTTGAGTGAACGGAGCATCCGATTTGAATGATCTAAAAAACATTCAATTAGTAATGATTGGGAGAAGGGGTTATTAGTTTTTCGCAAAGGCAGGCCCAGCCATTTCGGAGATACAGAGCTAAATGTACAAAAAATGGCAGTTTTTGAGAGAACTAAGCGTCCGATTCAATTGATTCAAAGAAATTTCTGCTTGTCTTAACAAAATAATTGATTTTGGAAAAAAAAAATTGTTCCATTTTTTTTTTTTTTTTTTTTTTTTTAGTTTTTTATATCGAAAATATTTCAGATTTCATTTTTAATTCTGACTATAGTTCTAATATACTTTACAATAATTTCAACTCTGCATACAGTTTTATATATTCTTATAAATATTAGACAATGTTACAATATTTAGAATAATCTATTTGAAAACATTCAGTATTCCACGAACATTTCGTTACGGTACGGGAAGTTCCAGCAATTTGCCTTAAGGCACGATGCCATAATTGCCTCAAGACAGAATTCCACTTACAGCTAGTTTTTATTTAATTTGATAATTAATACTAGCCATAAGATTAAACAACTTCTCCAATAGCAACCTATAGTGAAAATCATGCAACTTAATAATTATGTTTGCATTACAAGTATATGCTTGACTTATTAATAATTTTACAGGTACACGAACGGGAGAAAAATCGTCAGAAAAACCAAAGTTAGAAGGAAAACGGAAAGTCCCACATTTGATGAAACGTTTACTTTTGATTTGAGAATAGAGACTGGCGAAAGGGACCGAGAGGGCAATCACGCTTATACGGTAAAATTTTATTAAGTTATTCATTTTTATGTTAATGAATTAAATACCGTAGACGCTCGATTTATTAAAAAAAATCTACTATATGCGTAATGTTTTCAAGTTATTTAGATTGCGTTGCGTTTACGTTCTTTCTTGCTATACGTTGCTAAGTCATTTTCTTGGAACAAAACAAACACATTTATTTTGCGTAGAAATTTCCCACGAAAATTATCGTTGAATTGTGCCGGACACGATACCGTTCGGTGCCATCACGCATCATAATTTTTCACATGAATATAAGACATTAGAACATGTTGAGTAACAGTAACTAATTACGTTTTTATACAATAAATTATATTAGTTTTAATTGGAGCATTGTAAATAACAAAATAATATAATAAATACTTATGGATTATGGGGTTCTTTAAATATTGTTTGAAAAATATTTCTAATAAATTTTTTTTATCGATATTTATAAACTTTTAAAGCACAGACGGACTGCGTGAGCGAAATGGCGTGATTTTCATGTATTTGATGAAATAAGACTTCTTTTTTAAACATGTTCATTAAATATTATGATGAGCACCAATATTTTAAGTAAAATGTTATTTTCACCTGTCCAAGATAGCTCCTAAAGGTTTTTTTTTAAAATAAAGGTTAATAGATTTTAAATCAAATATATTTTCAAATATTTCCAAACATGTTAATGTGTTTTTCTGTATTATATAAAGAAGCTATCTGATTTATTTTGTAAAATGTCCTTTAGTTACAATATTCGTCATAAAAAATTATCTTAAATTTCATTTTACATGATCAAACACTACACTTCTCTATGTTATAATATAACATTTACTATCGAAATTTATAATTGTTACATATTTAATTCGAATACTTTCTAATTAAGTCTTAAAATCGAATAGTTTTTGTTAAAAATACATGTTTAAAACGCTCTTTCTACGATATTAATGGTAGAGGAGAAGTTGGAAATTGCGCTGTTATAAAAAAATATTAACAAATTAATACCATTTGACTTCATAACTATAACCTCGGCTACTCATCTGTTTGAAATTTGACGCAATCAGTTTTTTAGGTAGTTATGTTTAATCATTTTTCTGATTGGGATAAATCACAATCAACCATTAGAATAATTTTGATGATAATAAATGATTTTTATCATTAATATTGCTCGCATTAAAAATGTGAATATTAAAAATACTATGCTGTATAGTATACCCTCACGGTCCGTATTACCACCTTCTCCTATACATAAATTTATTATAAGTTATGATTGTGTCTTAAATTAAATGCTATTGAATTAATTGGTGGATGTATTTTTCTTGCCCGAATTGGCCATTTGGGAGTCCTTCAAGTGGCCCAAAGAACTATAACAGGCGATTTGTTATAGGATGCTGTAATTTGGGTATGTTATTTTTTATAAGCTATAGTAGAACAAAAAATGTTTAAAACTTTTTGTTCGCTCGTATGTCCGTCTGTTTTAGTCCTTCAACACAATCATATAAAATCGGACACAATTAATACAATCAATCATAAATCATAATGTTCATGTTCTTAATGTATATATCTGCGCACTGCAAATAAACCATCATGATAATTTCATACTTCAATCATTAATTCACTAATTGACTTAAGTGTTGTGAATAATTTTCTTCCAACTAATAATTACTATAACAAGTTTTGACATAGGCAAAAGAAAAATTTTCTTTAGAGTGTTTGCTCGAGATCAAATATTTTTTTTATATTAATAGTTGTAACTTAAAAAATAATTGTCAGATATTTTATGTATTTTGAATTCAAGGTGTGTCCTGCTGGTGAAGCTGATCTTCTTGAATTATCAGTTGGTTTATGGCATGATTCACCAGGCATGGTTAGTGGCAGTGGTTCATTTTTGGGTGAAATTAGGATACCTTTAAAAGGACACCAACAACGCGAAGCAACAGCCCGTGATGCTTGGTACCGGTTGCAACCTAGAAGGTTATTTTTAAACATTGTTTTTTGAAATATTATATATTAAACCATTTGCAAGTAATATTTAAAACATATTAGTAGTAAAATTTAACATATTTAAACATATTGTATAAATGTAGAGTTTGATCACTTACTAGCTTGATTAAATTTCGATATTATTTAATTTTAATTAGGACAAGTACAAACCAACAATCAGGATTTACGGATTCAAGGCGCACACCGCCAGGAACAAGACTTAGCTCTAGTGAAGGCAGTTCTGGTCTGGGATCTCTTAGACTTAGGCTAGATTATACAGAAGATAGAGTTTTCCCAGAACAGACATATAATGCTTGGAGGGATTTGCTTTTAGAAAGCACTCAAATTCAGGTTCATAACCAATTTTATAATATTTTGTAAATTGAAGTTACATATATTGTTATTACATTTATAATTTTTTACAGCCTGTTACATCAAGTGCCGTTTATTTATTAGGAGAGATAATTAAAGACAAAGAACATGCAGCTAAACCTCTTGTAAGACTTTTTACTCATCATCACAAAATCGTAGATATTATTAAAGTGCTTGCAGATTATGAAATCTTAAAGCTTACGTGAGTAATTAACATTAATGTTAATAAACATTAATCATTTTGATATTAAACTCATTATATTGTATCAACTCCACATTGATGTTTCACTTTTATCCTCATCAGAGACGCGACGACAATATTTCGTGGTAATACCTTGGTTAGTAAAATGATGGATGAAGCTATGCGTTTATGGGGCCTACCTTATTTACATCGAACCCTTAAAACTATTGTGGAAACTATTTTTGCGGAGCGCAAACCTTGTGAAATTGACCCTATGCGTGTTAAAGATGTTTCTGCTATTCAGGGTAATCTTGACAATCTCAAAGAATATGTTGAAAAGGTTAGTTACAAATATTAATCTACTCTTTACATTAATGAAAATATTCATAATATACTATGTAATTTTTTCATTGGCAATAACAGTTTAGTCCACAACCAACATCCAGCAAGCGAGTATTTTGTTCACATACAGTTTTAAGATTAATTATATTATTTTGCAGGTATTTTCAGCCATATCAGACTCAGCAGTACATTGCCCTGGCGCTTTATGTGAAATATTTAGTCATTTGCGAGAAAGCGCCGCGCGTAGATTTCCTCAGGATAAGCAAGTGCGATATTCAGTGGTGTCAGGATTTATTTTCCTAAGATTTTTTGCTCCTGCTATTCTTGGCCCACGATTGTTTGACTTAACTACTGAACAAATGGTATGTTCAATTTTTATCAGCAGAGTGTAATTTTCTAATTTATACATTATTGCTAAGTTTATTTATGAAATGTTTAATGTATATTTATCAGGATGACCAAACAAATCGGACGTTGACTTTGATTTCAAAAACCATTCAAAGTCTAGGAAATTTAGTGTCTTCACGATCTGCCCAACAACCTGCTAAAGAACAATATATGTGCTCTTTATATAAAGCAATGTGCACTGAGCGTCATGTAGAATCTGTGAAAAGGTTTCTTGAGCTAGTATCAGCCTCAAGTTCTTCACATGAAGAAGAATCCGATGCAAAAACTACATCAGACCAGCAAAACATAGCTGATAATGTTCGTATTATTGATAAGTCAGCCACACCTTACGGACCAAGAGACACTAGTTTTAATGATGAAGTTATTTTGCTCAAAGAAGGGTAAGTTTTTGTATTGCTTAAAAACTTTATACAATTATGATCATTCCACATATATTCGTAATGATAAAAATATAATTTTATTTTAGTATGATGACGAAACGAGCTCAAGGCAGACGTCGGTTTGGTTGGCGCAATTTCCGGGAGCGATACTTTCGACTGACCACACAAAGTTTATCATATGCTAAGGCTAAAGGCAAAACTGCTTTATGTACCATACCATTGGCTAATATTTTGGCCGTAGAAGAACTTGCAGAACGATCTTTCAAAATGAAGAACATGTTTCAAATTGTACAAGCAGAAAGAGTGCTATATGTTCAGACAGCAAATTGTGTTGAACTGAAAGAATGGGTTGATATTTTACATAAAGTATGCAATACAAATAGAAATAGACTTAATGTTTATCATCCATGTGCATTCCTGAATGGTCAATGGCAATGGCAAGTATAAAAAATACATTTTTATGATTATGTTTTTATTAATAATGATTGTTAATTATTTACACCTCGTAAACCTGTTTACTTATCATAATGTAGATAACATTACCTGAACCTGACATTAATTTATCTATTTTTATAGTTGCCAAAGTACTGTTTCTAACGCACCAGGTTGCACAGCAGTCTCTGTGTCAAGTGGAACATCAGAATTACATATGACTCTTGACCCAGCGTGGGACCTTCAACGACTGCATTCGCTATTTGTTAAAAATCTTACTGCTTGGGAGATGTTAGTGCGAGCCTGTGAATGCCAAACAGTTGCCGGTAATGGTGTGTACAAAAGTATAATAATATTATCATATTGCATAATAATGTTGCATACTATGTTGTTTTTGATAAAGATTTTGCACTATAATCTGCATGTTCTTTGTCTTTAATTTCCTCATTTCTATAAGTATATAAAATTTACCTTTAACTGTTATTATCATTCTGTATTATATCTTTATTTAAAATTTGTACTGCAGATTGTAGCTTGGTTTCTCCAGTAACTGAAGACCCACAAAGTTGTTTATTTACTTTAATGAAGTTACGAGATATTGCCAAAAACTTAGATTTAAATCATACTAAACTGCTAGGTTTTGAAGCAAGCCAGATGAAATATGGAAGCAGGTAAAATGAGAGAAGAAGATCGAGATTATATGAACATTATTCCATTCCATTATTCCATTATGTTTTATTTTAGGCAAGCACCCATAGGAGATGATAATTACTTTCACCTCGCAGCTCGTAGTAAAAAGGATATATCTGGCTTTTTTGCATCACATCATGAATTGTTAAATACAAGCAACCTCGAAAATATTTTGCCTACAGATAATAATGCTGGAAGACATAATAGCTTTGCTATGAAAAGCTCAAGACAGGAAATGTTCAAAACGATAGCAGTATCACTGCAACAAAGTGTAGTTGATGAGAGTAATGGATTACATGGTAAGTGAAATATTTAATTTATTATCTATGCATATATGCAAATTTATATGAAAACTTTATTCTCCCACATACATATGCATACTTTAGTTATAATATAAATAAAATATTTTTTTCATCTTTTCAATTTAGATGAAAAGCTGTTAATAAATAAGAAAACCAGTGATAATGAGTCACACCTCAAAAAAATTCCAACACGTGACTCAAATCAAGTGAATGATCTCATTTGTGAATCTGATGTACGTTAATAATATTAGTTGTTATTTTTTATTGTAGTTTAAGCAATAAGAATATTTATTTAAATAAGAGAGTTAATTAAATATCCTGTATACAAGTGTATGTTATATACATATGCAGGTATGTTTGCAAATGCATATGATTATAAATGTATGTATGTATGAATGGGTGTATATATGTTTGTAAGTATATAAATTCTATTGCTTTAAATAAAAAATATAAGAACGATTCATATTTCTTGATATATGTATGTGTATATAAAATATATTTTATGTTGGTGGTAGAGATGCTTGAAAACTCTTTATAAATAATAGAAACCAATATCACAAATGAAGACATTTGAAGCCTCTTGATATTGTCTAAGAGTACAATACTGTATGATTAAAGAATTGAAATAAGTTGAAGCAAAATTTACGAAATGTTTCTCAATTGTATCAAAATGTTCTTTGATGTGAGTCTGATTTCATATTGAAATAATATATAATTATAAATATGATAATTTATATGTATCCTTTAAAAAAAAATAGTATACACCAAGTCACATGCTCTATAAATTTAACATTGCAATAATTATTAGTATTTATTTTATGTATTGAGAATTAAATTATTTTAAGGCAACGTATTCGTGAAATAAAAATTATACGAATTTGATGTAATAATATTTGGCAGCTTTATATACTTACTACCTAATACATTGAAACTTTATGGTTACATGATTTTAATATTTGGATATAAATTATAAAAAAAAATTGAAATGATTAAATGTAGATTGATTATTTAAAATCATTTGTTCAGTATTAAAGAACAGTCAATATTATAAGTTGCCAAAATATATTATTGGAATTTCATATTTATATTGTATTAATTAGATCATTTTTATATATACTTTGTATCGATTTCTTTGATGATTTCCATTTTCGCCTAAATTATTCGTTACATGCATATAGATTATTTAGTTATAAGATAACACTCAATTATATTTATTTATATTAAATATGTACATATATTATATTTACATATATGTATAAATATACACATGCTTAAATACATGTGAAATTTACGTATATACCAATAAATAAATTTCCAATTTTAAGAAATATTTACCGTACTGTTCTGTAAATGTTATTTCCTTGTATGCTTTTTTTTATAAAATATGATGAAAGGATATCGCTTTTTAAAATACTATCTTTGGTCATTATTTTTTTATTTATAAGAAATGCATTCTACTGCATATATTATGTGATGCTCTGTTGGGCATTAATTACATAAGTATGCTTATATGTACATGTATAGAACAACAATTATCTATTTATTTATAATGTAATATTAGTTTTATACTACTTAATAATTATTTTTATACAGAATAAAATTATTTCAAATATGTTAATTTGTTATTAAAGCTGTAACATTAAATTTATTATTTAAATACCTGAAAAATAAGTATATCATTTTATATGTTTCATAAAATTTTATTCTTTGTGTTCAAATTTACAATTCTATTTCATTAATAAAGTTTGTTCTCTGACTCATACCTGAAGAGTTAGTGTTTTTAGCCTACTAAAACAAAAATAATTATTGCCATAAATTTTTAACTAATAATATTCTAATATAATTGGGAAAGTATGAAATGAATTTCCTAGCCAAAGACTAAATGAATCCTGAACATGATGAATATTTATGAATATAAAGTTTCATTTGTACAAAATGTAATTCATATAGTTTATGTTATAACCATTAAGTATATTGTTATTATACTAAATGGATATATCGCATTTACCTTTCTTAATATGACGGTCTATTTTTAAAATTGCATGATTGTCAAATATTGTAAAACCCCCAAAATTTGCTGACAGTAATGTTGATAATAAATGAACATTTTGGTTGTAAAAAGATTTTATTTAATTTTAGAAGAATAAGTTTATTTTCCAGAAAATCTGTTTTCCTGGATCATTTGGTACCGAAATTAAAAATGTCGATGCATTAGTATAGATAGTATAGGTGATATAAGTAAGCAAAAATTTGATTTTTTTTTAGAGACGGCTGCACCGATATTTTTTTTTATCTCTAGCTGCACCGATTTCAGATATTTAAAAGCCTTTTAATGAAAGCTCATAACACGAGTTATATATTTAAAGGATTCAAATGTAATTTAATTAGAAAAATTTATTCATTCAATTCAAGTTTAGAACAACTTAAACTTTATTAACAAAGTAAACAGTTTAACTTCTAAAAAATGGGAACAAAAATTAAGCTAAGCTCAGTTGTATAATGAAATTAAAGATTAAAGTTGAATAAACTTCAGTTTTTTTTTATGATAAAAATGACTATAATGTGCATGTGCACGTTAATGTATTCTTGTATATTCTTGGATTATGATGGCATCAAATGAAAATTTGAATTGTATCGTTTAATGAGAGTAAATGATTAAAAACAGTTTACATATATAATTGTATTTTTTGTTTGAAATTATTTGTATTATATAATATATAAATAGAAGTATAAATAATTTAAAAGATAAATGTTACTGAGGTCGATAATGTTTAGATTTCGATTTGAAACTCGCGCTGTGACTTTTATTTCTTCGTCGAATATTGGCAGCCCCCTTGAGCACTAATATTACTTCAGGGTTATCTTTTTCTTCTCTGTGATTTTTTCGTTTGTTTCATTCGGGTTCGAGACGTCAGTTAGCTGTCATATTACATATTGTTTTTAATTACATGTTATTTCAATTGGTTTGAAACTACTAAGGTATATGTTGTGATTTGATTATTAGTTTGCAATTTTACATGACGGTAAATATTACTAAATCGAATAAACTCTGATAATTATATGTATCCTTGTGCCTCATGAAATGACTCATGAATGTTTTCAGTTAAGATCAATATCATCTAAAGATAGTTTAATCAGCAAAAAGTTATCATGGCTATTAAGGCATGGAGCTGAGAAAGATAATGTTCCAATATGTGAAGAAGGTTTTGTTAAAGTGAGTGACATATTGCAGCATAAATCATTTAGGCCAAATGTAACATTAGAAGATCTTCAACGAGTTGTTGCTTGTAATGATAAACAAAGGTTTACTCTAAGAAAAAACCCCATCACACTTCAATTTGAAATTAAAGCGAACCAAGGACATACTATTGTTTTAAAGAATCCAAATTTATTTGAAATTCCTATTACCACGACTTATACAGAAATTATTCATGGAACTTATTATCACTCATGGAAAAAAATAAAAAGGGAAGGATTGAAACGCATGAAACGGATGCATATACATTTTGCTAAAGGACTAAATAGTATCAGTGGCATCAGGAAAAATTGCCAAGTTTTAATTTATGTCAATATCAAGTCAGCTTTGTCCGACGGCTATAAATTTTATGAATCTGAAAATCAAGTTATTTTATGTCCGGGCAATGCTGATGGTATTTTACCAATACATTATTTCTTGAAGGTTGTTGATTATCAAACAAGTAAGCACTGTACTAAATATTTGTATTTGTCCAGTTTTATGATAAATATGACAATATTTTATTTATTAAAGTAAATAATAAGCTATGTTCAAACAAGGTTCAGCACAGAACTGTTCATTTATTTTAATAGCTACTAAGATAATATATATATAATGACATATATCATACAGTGAGCCATGAGAAATATATTGTTCAATATTCATTTTTTTTATTGCAGATAATTTATTAACATATTGAAGTTCCATAAAAAATAAGCCTGTAAATAAATAGTGATGGCAAATAAGTATTGTACACCTTGTGATTTGCATTTGGATGAACTATCCTTCAAAAGCCATATTTTAGGCAAAAGGCATGCAAGTAAAGTGAGGCAAAATATGCTTTCAGCAAAGAATGCTTCTTCAGAAGTAGTTGTCACAAGTGAGTTATTAATAATTTATTTTCAATGAACACATTAAAGACTTTCTTGAAAAAAAAAATTCAAATAGTACATAAAATATCTTTATTGTACATGATTGATATGCTATAGAAAAAGTTGTAACTCAGGTTTAGTTAAAAAATACACAAATAATGAAAAAAATATATATGAGACACATAATCGGGCTTGATATTTTTGATTCTTAATATTATTTTAAAAATAAATAAACATGTTAATAATCATTATTGAAATGATTTCAGATTTGCCACAGCCATGCCCAAGGGAACTTATAATTCCTTTTTTCCAGCAATTTGGATACATGATTAATTCTAATTTTATTAACAAGTCTAAATTGATATTAAAATACAAAGATGAAGAGACTGTATTATATTTAATACGAAATAAAATTTATTTTGGCGATAAACTTCTGAATATTGCACAAGTGCAACCAACCAAAGCCAATGGTGAGCTTGGATTATTCTAATTTTGTAGAATTGGTTTATTGAAATTAGTAAATAGAATCTTTTTTTATTTATTTATGAATATGTTTTAGATACGAGACGACAGCGAAATGATAATAAATCTGAGCTTGATAATAAATATTTGAAGGTTGTTACATCTAGTAAACCTTTTGATAAACAGGTAGCAGATCTAATTCAATATGCACAGGTACGTAAAGTTAGTGCTTTCATGTTATAAAGAGTACTGGGGTATATGATAAATCTATCTATTTGTATATACCAGATATAGGTTTTTTCTAGTGTACAGCATAGAAAGTCTGGATTCTCTAGTTGCAATAGTATAGATCTCCATGAATAAATTTATGCAAATAATTGTCTAAATGCATATATGTATATATATATATATATATATATATATATATATATATATTTAACCGTGTGTGCTGTTGTGGTGATGGAAAAAATAATTTAAATAAGCATACGATATTTCTTTCCATGTTATCTTTTGAAATATTTATTAATTTCATTAGGGTTCCATGAGTGTGCAGCAAAAAAGGTGTTATTCAGTTTTAAATGATTTATCATCAGCCCTAAATGAATGGTTTCCATGTGAATTACGCAATTTTGGATCTTCTGTGACAGGCTTGGGATTCAAAAATTCTGATATTGATGTTTATGTTAAGTTGCTGCCACCAAGGCCTTATAGTCATAATGAGACAATGGATTATTTGAAGCGTACCAAAAGAATTCTTATGAGACATCCGAGTTTTAAGAAGGTTTTTGGAGTTTTTGGTGCTAAAACACCAATTATTAAATGTGAACACACTCCAACAGGCTTGAATTGTGATATTAACTTAAAAAATTCTTTAGGCATCTATAATAGTGAGCTTTTGAGTTATTTACAAACTCTTGATATACGTATTAAGCCGCTTTTACTAGTCATCAAATGTTGGGCTCAAAACTTGAATTTAACAGGTAGCAATAAAATAACAAGTTATGCTCTTGCAATGATGATTATTTTTTATCTCCAACAAAAAAAGATTTTGCCACCAATAAGATTTTTGCAGTCTTGTGCATTTGATCATGATGAATGGAATTGCACATTTGACAAAGAAAAAGGACATACTTTCGAAATTGAAAATAACCAGAATTTGTTTGAATTATTACGTGATTTTTATAGATTTTATGAAGCATTTAATTTTAAAGAAATAATAAGTCCACTGACTGGCATTACCCATCAAAGGCATGACTTCACTAAATCTGGAAACATACCTTTTGAATATGAGAGATATAAATTGAAATTAGAACAAAGTGGGGGAAGTGCCTTGAAGCTAGAAAGCAGCATTATAGTTATTGATCCTTTTGAACTTTCCCATAATATAACTCCTTGCGCTAATGCTAATATTTTACAACTTTTCAAAGAAGCTTGCATCTTATCTGCTAAATGTTTTAATATAGGTGCTGATTGTAAGGAGTGTGAGGTTTTATCAAAATTATTCACAATTAAAATAAGTTTAAAGAAAAATAAAATAATACGTGAATATGAATGCAACATATTAGCTTCTGATGACCTATCTTTTCAAGAGGAAGCTTCTGTCAAGGATACAACAGGCTTGCATGATTTACGCAAAAATTGGTTGCATAGAGCGAAAGATTTAGTTTTGAAAATCATGCAAGAAATTTTATTATTGGATGTTCAGGATATTACAGTTAGTCCAGACAGAAAGTCTATAAAAACCGAAACTAAAGATGAGGTACATTCTTCAAATATAACCGAAACAATCAAATATCATTGTACAACCAAAATGTCTGTTTTGAGAGGACGTTACAAATGTAAAGTTGTGAAAGCAAATTTGACAAAATTTGAGCATGAAAAGGCTATAACAAGAGGTATTTTAGACGATTCGGGTTCAAAGTCTCCAAAAAATATGGCAGATTTTTATATGACTATAACTAGTGTTTTACAGCCAACAAAAATTACAATAAAATTGACGAATAATATTGCTATTCATTCCGAATTTATGTTAATAACAGATTATTGTAAAAAAAATTTGAAGAAATTGTGTGTTGTAGCAATTGAAGACAATGACATAAACAAATCGGAGCCTACTGAAATAAAATTAATGGAAGGTGAACGAAGGCATCTTGAAAATCAAAATCAGCCTTCCACTAGCAGCCAGAACGGTAATTATGCCAAGAAACTTAACAAAAAAATTGAAATTAGGCATGATGTGGTACCACCAGGATTTGTTCCTTTTTAATTGTTACGTCTGCTATATGTATCAGGAGACTGATTTCGATAAGTTTATTTTAATTTGATATCTATCTTATTATATATCTTATTATATATTTGAGAGTTTATATGATCTTTAGATTTTAAGTTGCATATTTTTGACATAAAATTTTTAATAGTATCAATTTTATTATATAATGGCATGTAATCTTATAATTTGAACTTGTTTTTTATCGGTTATATACATTTATATTTAATTTCAATTTTACCATAATGTTGAATATATGAAGTATAAAAATACAGAAATTGAAATTAAAAATGTTGTTTATTTGTTTTTGTGGCATTTTATACGTTTTTATAAATTCATAATTATGAATGTGACTCTTCATTGAGATCAACCTGTAAATGCCAAATCACATTCATCAATACAAACTGCAACTAATTAAACATAAAGGTAACAAAAAACAAACCTCTTCCTCGCATTCCCCATAATTGAGTTCAGACATCTCTAAATTTTTGTCAGTTGATGAAGATTCTTTCCTTTTCTGAATTTCTTCAATCACTAATGCATGTATTATTTCACGGCACCTATCATCAAACCCAGCTGGTAACCAACCGCGTCTTTGATCACATTTTGTTACACCTGGTATAGGAACTGGCAGGCGGGCTAACATGGTTACAATTTCAGGTACTGAGACATCACAGTACTAACAAAAAAATATTTTAAAATAAAATTAGTTGCAAGTAGCATTTTGCATTTTGATAGTTGCATGAACTTCCTGATACATATACATACTGTAATAAAAACTGAAATTCAACTAAGGTAAAACAAGATTGAATGAATGAATTTAATATAAGTAATTATGCAGATAATGTTACTTTTAAAATCACCTGATAAAACATCTGCCTAGATGGTGGTACCATGCCTTGTCGAAAAATATAAATATTTTCATTTAATTTAGTAGGTCTATTAGAAGTTTTAATTTTTTTAGATCTGTGTGTTTTGCCTAATACAACCGTTTTGGGTTTGCAAGTAGATCCAGTTTTATAAGGTAATACATAATTGGTGCTGCTTCTCTTAGCTTTAATTGCTGTTTTGTATCCGCCTATCATAAATATAAAAATAAGATCAATTGTAATAAAACACCACTATTTTTATTTTTGTATTATTAATATAATAACAAAAAATTACTGCTTGTTTATACCTGTAGTTCTTAATCTGTAATCTAATGTCTGGTACTTCCTAGATTGATAATCTAGCCTTGGATCATATCCAAATCGAATCCACATTGATCTCCAAGGACCAGTTACATAGTAGTATGCAACTGCTGGTAGTAAGTATTTTAATTTATCAATACTATATCCAGAATTATACAATAAAGCATTCTTTGACCAAATTGGACGCTCCTCAAATAACTAAAATGTAATGTAAATAGAAATATTTAAAAAGAATTTATTTGCAATCATAAATTACTTTTTTCAGAGTGTTCAATTGTGTGCCATCAAGGAATTTAACTTGCAACAAATTAAGGCATTTTCTGTTTGGAGCTTTTGGTGCAACTTCTGGTGCATTTTTGAATGATAAAAATATTGCATAGCCTGATCTCCTGCGCCGGGTTCTACCAATCACATTATGAGTTGCATCTGCACTATCTTTGGTATATGAATCAAGAGCTAATGATAAATTTTGCTGATTATCGATTCTTGAAAATGTTGCAGGTGTCAAAAACAATGGTGCATCTGCCCTAAAAGTAGCTTTTGAATAGGATACAACAACTAATACAATTGAAATAAATACCCCATCCATGCAGCTGAAGGTAAACCAAGAGGGACAATCTCATCATAATAACATTTCAACGATCCATTCACATCTTTATCTAGAGTCAGATATTGAAAATCACAGAGAGCTAAAATTATATCAATTCATTTATAATATTTTTTTACAGTACAATTGCTCTCTTAATTCGCATAATTTTTAATTTAAATCAGATGAATTAGATGAGAACTTTTATACTAGTAATGTAAATTTTGAAATAAACATTATATATATATATATATATATATATATATAAAAATTTAATAAAAGATGATTTAATAAATTAGTCTATAGAATTACAAACCAGTAAATTTGTAAATGGTATGAACTCGACCAATAATTTTACAGGATACAACTTCAGGAACTTGTGTAGATTCTTTTGACTTTGGACGTTTTATCTTAACTTTTATTATTAAAGCGTTTGTTTTGTATTTATCCCCGCATGTTGGTTTACAATAAATATCTTTTGGCCGAAATCTTAGTTCTAGTCTTCGATTTTTGGTGCAATAAGCCTTGAAATATTAATAAACATTAAAGATTGATTTACTCATGTTAATTCATAAAAAAAAAAAAACGTAAAAGAGTAAATAGAGTAAAAGTTTTGATTGATTGCTATTTAATTCTAAAACTAACAATAGTAAAAGAAATCTTCATCTCTAGCATATCAATTAAGAAAAATAAAGAAAGAATAAAATGAGAAGTACAATTATTCTGCAATATAAAGGAAAGATCAATACTTTAAAAAAACTTTCCAGTTGCATTATGTTATGAAATATTTAATAATCATGACATCAAGTTTATATTCTAGAACAATTATAATTAGTGCGAAACATAATGGACAGATTATTCAAATACAATCCTTAAGTTAAATTAATACTGTCGATATTAAATATAAATTCGTTAGAACATTTATAATCAGTGTAAAACGTATGGGGCACATCACCCAAATTAAATTCTTAAAATTGTATTAATACCATAGATAAATTTCGTACACCCCCAAGTGTTTCTAACATATTATCTACATTTTGGACGATTCCTGGATATTCAATGCATACTAAACTTTTAAATAAATCTAGACTTATTTTATTCATGATTTATAACAACTAATATCTTTTGATTTATAGAACTTTATATATCTTTAAAATTACAAACTGCTGTAAAATTTTCAAGTGTAAGTAAATAATAAAATAATTAAAGAATAAGAATAAGTTTGTACAAATTTTTGACATTTAAGTTCAACGCCATTTTTCTAACCTAACTTTTTGCGGATGTCAAAGTGACATCTAACAAAAGCGAAAGTAAATGTTAAATGTCATATTCAATAAATTGATTTAATGTTTATTAAATCTTTAAACTGATAAATTGCTCAACATTAATTTATTTTTATTTGTGATGTGATGTGTTAATATAAAAATAGTTAAAATAAGTTATATTTATACATTTGGCAATGGTATGTCATTAAATTTAATATTCAATCAAGTTGAGAAATCTGTTTATTATTCCTTAAATAAATATCTCATTGCTGATTATCTTTGTCATACAATTTTTGTGCAATACTTGTTAATAGTATTTATTTCTTTTTTGTTTCTACACTCCTAGTCATATTTACCAATATTATATTCTTTTATATTTATTTATTGCTTTCGTAAACTTATTTGGCACTACATTGCATATAATATTATTTGTGCTATAATTATAATTTGAACTCGTATTTTTAATCAATGCCTATTTACAAACTAGATTTAAATCATTAATCCAAAAAGAAATAAACAATATGATTGCAGTTAAAATTAAAGAGTTTTGAAGCAAAAATTTGTTATTTAAAAGTCACTATACGCATCTTCAATGAATGAATGATAATGTGATAATTAAATTCTAATATTTATATTATATATCGATTTTATACAGTTTTATAGTCAGTCTCCTAATCCTGATTATTATTTTTAACAAACTATTTTTTCGTTTTCATGACAGAGTAATTCTCATGATGATATACCATGGACAATTCAACAAATTCGAGAGAACTCCTCGAAATGGACTTTGGAAGGAGATGCCAAACTATTATTGTACCTAGAAGCATTTTCAAATGTTGGTTTACTTGCATATACCAATTGAAAATCTAATAGACATATTAATTATTGTTTTTCTATAATTTACAGACTCTTTGTAAGAGAAGTAAAACAACTAAAGCAAAATTAGATTCCATGGTTAGCACTTTAGAGTATACACAGATTTCTTTGGCTAATTCTACTAACAGGTATTTTGAAATATGGAATATCATAGCTTTTAAGCACATATTTTATATTGTGTTAAAAGCTTTTTATTAAAATTGAGAGATAATGTGTTCAATTACATCATTTCACAATTGAGTTGTACTCAATTTGTACTGTGAAATAACGTTATTGTATACTTCCATCAGGGGCTATCAGAGACAAAAAGTGGTATTTATTTTCAGATTTCATGCACTACAACATTCACAGTTTGTTGAGAGTAGAGTATATGAAGAAGACATTCAAGCCGATACTTGTCCTAAAGAGGAAAAAGTACTACAAGATGTAAGTTAATATATATATATATATATATATTATATATATATATATATAATTTAATTTGTATCAACATTATAAATTATTAATTTTGTTTTTAGTCAAAGATTGATCCAGGAGTTATAGCAAAACAAGCTGTGATGTGCGGTTTAAAATTAATGGAAAATGAATATATGAAAGTGCAAATTAGTGCAAATAATTCAGAACAACCAAGGTACAGTTACGTTTGATATTATTATAATAATAAATTATGAATTACTAACAGCAGCATATATGTTTATTACATATTAATAACACTAAATTTATTTATTTATTATTTATTACTTTTAGATTTAAATATGTTCCCAAAGACAGATATATGAGTAGACCATTGCCACTAAGGATTGGTTCAAAAGAATTTTTAGCAAGTTTAAATCCAAGCGAATCGGAAAGCGAAGGGGGTTTCGGTTCTAGTAGATCAAGAAGTCCATCTATTGCATCATCACAATCTAAAAGTTATTCTCCTTCACTTACAAATCCAAGTGTTCAAAAATATGATATATCCAGTATTACTAAAGGTGTTTATTATTTTTAGCCTAAATTATTTATTTCGCAACTTAAAATATTGTAGATCAAAATTTTTAATATTAAATTTTGATTTAAACATGTGATATAAAGTAAATTGCATGGTTATTACACAGCCAAAACCGTTTTATGATCATTTATTCAAACATTATTAAAGAGATTTTATTAATTTGAACTCTAGATTAAGATTGCCTTTATAAATTAAATTAATTATAAAATTATAAAATTACAGGTAATAGTAGCATTTTGGGGCATTCAAGTGAAGAAGAAGATGATAAAATATTTGAAAATTCTGTTGAGCAACACAAATCTCCTAATAACAAAACCTCATCTGATATAGATAATACAAAAAATAAAAGGGAACAATTTCCTACACCTAGACATAGTTATCCAATTTTATTTAATGATGGCCCGCCATTATTGGAAGATTTATATGAGGCTGATAAACCTAAAAAGAATGACTTATTTGATGATGATGATGGAAATAGCGATGAATTGTTTGACGATAAATCAAAAGTTAAAAATATAGCAAATAAGACTTCCATTATTTTTCATGGACAAAATGAAAACAAATCTCAAGCTGTTAATTTATTTGATGAGGAACCTCCTGAAATTGATGTATCTAAAACTGCTCAAAATATTCCAAAAGTTACAAATTTATTTGATGATGATTCAGAAGATGACCTGTTTGCTACTGTAACAAGTAGTCATAAGAATCAGGTTAAAGCAAATACTTACAAGTCAGAGGACACAGTAGGCATATTCTCTGACAAACCTCCTGAAATTATAAATTCTAAATTAAAGGGAGCGATAAAGAAGCAAATAGAAAATATTAAGACTGATGTGGAAGATGATATATTGGATTCTGAAAATACTTCCAATAATATCACCCCCAAGGGAACTAATATTAAAACACTACAAAAGAATAACTTATTTGAGGATGATGAAGATGAAATCAAATTTGACACCAACTTGTTTAACAAAAATTCATTGCTTAGTGAAACCTCGAAACATATAACATTTAAATTGTTTGATGATGAGCCACCTATAGATTTTGAAGCCAGTTCAACAAGTGCAAAGGATGAAAACAAGAAAAATAAATCATTTAGCATTGATAAGAAATTTAGCTTATTTAGTGATTCAGATGATGATGATATATTTGATAGTCTAATTAAAAATGATAGTTCAGATAAATCAAAATCAAAAGTACAAGTAAATCCTACAATAACTCCTAAAAGTGAAATAAAAAATATTGCCTTTGAAGCATCTTCAAATAAAATTGATCCAAGTACTAAATTGGATTCTAAGCAAAAATCCAAAATTAATGAGCTATTTGAAGACGATGATGACTTATTTTTTACGAAACCTGTAATAAATGTAAGCAAAACTAACCAACTGAAGAAAATAATGATATTTTGGTAAAAATAGAAATATTGTACTTGAGAATGAAAAGAATGAAAGCATATTCAATCAGGCTGAAATCAGTAATGTTGCAAAAGGTGTTGAAAGCAATACATCAGAAAGCAAGGAGAATCCTATTATTAATGAAAACAAACATGATATTGTAACTGATAACAAAGTGTTGAATAAATTGCATAGCTCACCAGTAGAAGCAAAATCAAATAGTGATCTTAATGTAAAATTTGCAGATACAAATAGGGCAGCTGCAAACCCCATTACTGATATTTTTAATGAAAGTGAAGATGATGATGATTTATTCCAAGTGAAGCCTAAAGTTGCACCTCCAAAATCTATTAATATTGATTCAAAATCGGAGGATAAAAAATTATTACAAAGTTCTATGATAATCAATAAGTTTACTTATTTGGCTGCAGGATCAGAAAACAAGTTGAAAGATTCTCAAGCACAAAGCAAAACTATGATTCCAAATACCACAGATGTGGAACAAGAAAGTATTAAAGCACCGCCAACATCTGAAGCAATTTCTAAAAGCCCAAAATTGTTTGAGGAATCAACAAGTGATTTGAGTGATGATGATGACTTATTTAAAATAGGATCAACTAAAACTGTAATATCAAAATCTTCAAATGATGATGTTAAAAACACATTGAGTTCTAATGCAAGCCATCAAAAAACTGATTTGTTTGCTGAACCGGAAAACTTATTACATCAGAATAATAAACTTGTTGACCATGTTAAAACTAATGCAAGTTCAAATCGAACACCAAATATTAAAACAAAAATTGTTGGTATATTTGAGGACCCTATATATAGGGATTCAAAGACCATTAATAATTCTGAAATCACTAATGTTGAAGTTCCTAAAACAAGTGTTACAACAAGTATTGTTGAAAGTAGTACTAAAGCAATCAAGGAGAAACAAGAATTGGGAAACTCAAATATAAATGATGAATTAGTCAAAGAGCAAAGGGAAAAATCTTTGTACGAACAAGCTGCATCAAATATAGCTTTATTCGGTGATGAACCTCCAATTGATATCTTTGAAGATCTGACAAACTCAAAAAAATCTGACAACAGTAAAAGAATTACCTTATTTGATGATGATGAGGATGAGCCTGATTTTTTCCAAGATCTTTCTAAAACAGTTAACAATATTGGAACTAAAGAACCATTCGGAATTGGTTTGTTTGACAATGAACCTCCTGATGATATTGACTTTAAAACAAAAATTAAAAAATCCTATGTAAATACCAATAAAAATGATGATAAATTGTTTGCTTCTGTTTCAAATGTTGCAAATAAGTTTGATCAGAAACTGATAGACAAAAACGATGACTCAAATCAAGTTAAAGAAGTTAAAAATGAAAATGCAAACGATATCAAAATCACATCACTTTTACCTAAAACAAATGAACCAAAAAAATTATCAAATTTGTCAAATTTCAACATTAATGTGTCAGCGTTACTTCCGGGAGCGAGGCCCCCGTCGCTGTCCAAAAAACATGGAACACCAGATACTGACCAGTCGGATTCTAAATCTGTAACGCCCATTCCGGAACACGATGTAAATTTATCAAAAAAAATTGCCGTTGACAGTAGAGGAGATGGTCTAATTCATAATTATAAAGAAATTTCGAATCGAAAAATTGATAGCGATCAGAAAGAAAGGAATGGTGATTTTATTTCTCAAACCGAAACCTTGCAGAATTCAGCAGTCAAGGTAAGATTTAGAAATTCCATAAGTATTTATTTTGCATGTATATTTATAAGTCTATAAGTTTTATTAATAATAATTATACAGTATATAATTCAGATATAATCATACCCGACGATCAAATCTACCTTGCTTACACAATACTTTATTTAGTTGTTTGCTACATAAATGGATTAGTTTTATATTTTTCTGTGTCATACTATAATAGGAAGATATTTTTGTTATTATCAGATTATTAATTTGCGCAAAGTATTGACTATATAGTGGATTGGGATTTTTAATTATTCGTGGTTAATGGAAGAAAACTTCGTGTGCTTTATGTTTTAAAATTAATGACATGATATTGAAGAAGATATATTATATATCAAAAGTGGTAGAAGTAAATTGATATTATTCCCAGTGTACGATTTAAAATCAAATTTTCAGGAACGTGTCAGGATACCTCAGAAAAGGCGACCGCCCAGCAGACGTGCGCGACAAGAAGCAGCTCGAAAATCTTTAGTTTTGGAAAATTCCGATTCAGAAATCGAGTCTGTGTCTACAGAACAAAACATACTTAGTGACTTCGCTAAAAGCATGGACGAAAATGAAAAATCACTAATAAGCAAAAATTCACATATAAAAAGTGCAAATAAATTAACTAACGAATTATCCAGTGTTATAAATTCTTCATCAGGACAACCCCGTATAAATGATAATAGTTCAAAATCAAGTTTCAAGGAAGATTTAACCGACCATTCAAAAAGCGAAAACTCTAATAGTTTAAGCAAATCTAAATCTCAAGCTATATCTAGTGATCATTCGGAATCAGGTAGCAATATTAAAGACGGAACTGATATTTTGTCGCCGTCAACTGAAGAGGATGATATTTTTAAAATAGATAAAATAGCTGACGACGATACATTGAAGGTAGATGAATATAACAGTATTTTTAATGATTCCGATGATGATGTAGATGACTTGACCCATGATTCAGAAAATAAAGCAGAAGTATCAAAAACTGATGACATAAAAAGGCAGAAAGAATTTAATCTTCTCGAAGCTCTTACACGAAATACTGAGTCAAAACCAAATATGGACGCGATTGATGAGAATATACTCAAAACTGATTCTTTATTTATACCAGTTGATTTAGATATTAATTCAGGTGTAGGTTTGAAACCGGTTCCTGAAAATACTAACATAGCAGGAAGCATATCTCAGAAACATTCAGAAACAAATATTACAGACCTTAAAAATAATTCTAGCTTGAGTGCACAAGAATCAGTAGAAAATGATCTTTTTGGAGCTGCTGCCAGTAGTAACAATGATTTAGAAGATAAACTTTCGACACTAGCAATTGATGGCTCTGCTGAAGTTTTACATGCTGCGCAAGTGGGTAAAACGAGCAAAGATATTCTATTTGATTCGGATTTAGAAGAAGATTTATTCACTGCTAAATCTATGTTCATTAGTAAAAATGCTCAAAATGTTTCTCAAAGAGGTGATGTCAAACCCAGGTCGCCGCTGTTGAATTCTGTTGGGGCAGATGATCTGTTTGCTGGTTTACCAAGGTCCAATATAATACTCAGAAAAAATCGTAAAACAGATAATCTTTTTAGTGATACCGAAGACGATGAAGATTTATTCAAAGTAAAAACAATTAAAGTATCTAAGAGTTCAACAGATAAAGTTTTAAGCAACAGCAAAAAATCAAGTGTACCAAAATCTGCATCATTATTCGGTGACAGTGATGACGATGATGATTTATTCAAAGTATCGACTGGAAAATATTCATAGCTTGTTTATTTGCTTATTATTTCATAAAATTAAATGAAAATAATAATAAAATCATATCACACACATATTGCAAATATTTTCATAAATAATCCACATTATCAGAATTGCAGTTACGTAATATTGAAGTAATTATTCAATAAATATAAGATATAAAAACAATATATATTTCTTACCATATGTGTCAGAGATATAAATAAAAACAGAATTTTATCATATTTTGTATATAAAATAATCACATATATATTTAGATATGTACATAAAATTATATATTGTTATAACATTCCTATGTGAACTATATTGCATAATATAGAAAAATTCATTGTACATATATTAACAAGCTTGTATGAATATGTATATATATATATATATATATATATATATATATATACATGTTATACAAGCTTATAAATATCATAATATATGGCTTACATATTATACATAAAAGTTAATAAAACATGTTATTGGCACATGCACTGTTTATAATACTTACGTTTTAACTTTTTGTTTCATACTTTTAATTACAGTTAAAAATCCGAGATAGAGTCGCTTTAATACGTGGCTTATATACGTAGTACTATTAAATTAAATGCAACATTACTTATTGACATTTATTGTATTATAGAAATAACTTTGGCTGATAGAGCAGACCAGAATCTTATTATCTGTATTTCGTACAGTTATCATAAAGCTACATCACGGTATTTTGTGAAATCATCTGATCCTAAGGATAATCTACTATTTCTATTGGATCCTAAAACATCTGGTGGTATATAGCAAACATTATTGCTGCTGGTATAATAATAACTTCCTTGTCCATTATCAGCAACAGATCTCATGTGTGGCATGTAAAATCCTGGCATGTGATAAATAGGATATCCCATCGGCATATTATAGACATTCGGTGGCACACCTAAATACATGTTATTAGGTTTCATTTCGTATCTAAACAAATTATTTTTATACACTTCATTTTTTGAGGCGTTATTTAAATCCACTAATGACTGACTTTTTCGCTGCGGGGGAAAATTTTCTAGTGGTTCTTTGTTTTTGTTGCTATTCTGTTTATAGTAATAATTAAATTTCTTATCGAACAATAAATTGGAATCGTCCAGGCCGTCTTGTTTCAATGTGTTGGCAAGCCAGTACTGTTTCATAGCTGCTATGAAATTGGAGTCCGATGGTTTGCGGAGTAAATGTTCTGGTGGGTTTACAGCACGCAAGTCCATTAGTGATTGCGCTCGTTTTCCTAGAAAATACGTTGTGATCACAATTCATAACTAGTGGTGCATGGCATAGTGCTTTAAAACAAATTGCTGGAACTTCCCGTACCAAAAATTAAAGTTTTCGAAAAAGATTCAATTTTCTTCTAGAACTCGATTTTTAAAATTTTTGAAAAATTGACCTTTTTGAAAAATTTGTTTTTTTTATACTTTGAAATAGTTTGAACTTTTTTTCAAAGCAATTGCAAAACGTTAGATGCGTCGAAACGAATGATCGAAGCGCGTGGGCGCCGCGTCGCGATATGGCGGATAAACATTGGTACGAAACCCACAGACAAGTGAACAAAATTTGTTATTACTATTAAAATATGTGATAATTTGATGTGCATATGTCTAATGATCATTTGTGTGTGCCAAATGGCATATTTTTCACTTTTTCTATTGGAACTCAAAAAATGCACCAGTTCTTCATTTCGTTAATACAAATAAATTGTTTGTTCAATCATACAAATCGGATGTTCCGTTCGCTTAAAAAATCAATTACCATTTTTAGCACTTTTTGCCCCGTCTCTTCGACATGCCTTTGCTAAAAACTAATTAGCAGGTCTACTCATCATTAGGAATCAAATGTTTTTTTAAACATTCAAATCGGTTGATACAAGCGCCCGAAATCGTGGACGCAAAATTGTATCCAAACATACATACAAACACACACATCTATTTTTTCTGAAATATGCCAAATTGTTCAGAAACCTTTGAAACGTATAGATATGCAAAAATTTTCATTTTCGATTTTTTTGCGATTACTATAACTTACCCTACGGGAAGTTAAAAATATAAAAATTATAATTTATAAACAGTCGACCATATTGATAGACAAATGTGCAAAAAAAGAAATTTAAGTTATGCTGTGATGGCTAATATTTCTGTAGCTTTTTTTTTCATTTCAAATTTGTGAGAAAACTTATAACAGGGGGAAAGAGTAGTTAATTCATATAACTTAAATATGATCTTTCCTCATTTTCCACTCTTTTTTCATTGATATTTTTCAGTAGGTCTTTTTCCTTATGATCTTGTCGGACGAAATTTATCCGAAATGGAATTTTATAATATATTGCCATCAGTTATATTTTAAAATTATCTTTCTTACCATACATCGCGTTATGTTGATCATATAAAGCTGTTGGCGAAAACAAACTAGCATCGAACTCACTTTGGCTGTCATAGATTCCACTTTTTACACTACAGCTAAAATTAATCATATTATTTAGACACATGTTCTTAATGAAATAACAATAAAATTCACATAATTATTACTTATCCAGTTCATCGTTTACGTATGCGTTATTTTTCGTTCCATTTAATTTTTTATGTTGGCGACCATTGCTCGCATTGCTGACTACTGACCGGATACTGCTCCTGGTTGACTGGGTCAAGCGTGGGCTGTGGGCTGCAGATAAATGCGAACGAGAAGTGAGCATTTCTAATTGGGATAATACTCTTTGTTCCTCTCGCCATCTAGAAATAGTAAAAGATTAATACATATAATAACAGTTTTGTAGACAGTTCAAATTAAAAGCTTTTGACCAGATTTCTAAAAATGTATATGGTGTATATTTCAATAGCGAGCCTAATATTTTTCGACTAAGCAACCCAGCGGTTAACTATTTCCACTAGGGATCATATTTGAGATCTATGATCTCAAGTAAAATTGACTAAATAATAATGCATTAAAGATGTATTCTAATATTAGATATTGTTTTATTAATATTACCTTAAAATTAATGGAATGACACAGAGTAATGCTACACTATCAAAAAGCAAACGAATTAAATATCCTATTAATTCGGTTTGACCATGGTTGGATTGAAGGCCCTGGAAGGAAAACAACATCAAATTTTAGACATAAAAATGTTAAATTGTTATATTTTATAACAATAAAATACATATTAATTACAATTTTCTTAAAAACGTTTTCTCGTTCATTGGATCACCTTGTTTTTGTTCGTGAAATATGTTAATTTGAGCAAATTGACTAATCATTTTATTCAAGAATACAATTTATATTTTTTCTATTTTACGCTGAACATTATTTAAACGTCATATTTTTTAAACTTATTTTTTAATTTTTTTTTTCAACTTACCCAATGATGAGTTACTGTATATATAACTAAAGTTAGTTCAGGAACCATAAATACAATTAGGACAGATGCCCAAATCACAGCTCCTAAATGCGTACCCTGAAATTATAAAAATGGCATCTTCATAGCAAAAATATAGAATAAATGTTATACTGTTTGCAAATTACTATTATTATTTATTTTACCGTTGCGAGTCCGTAAACTAATGCAGTACAGGCAATGAAAACTAATAACTCCCCCGCACACAAAATGTGCGACGCCACTGGCAGAGTGTTTGGTGATTCCAATATCCATGATAATTCACATGAGAATCCAATTAGATAGGATAACTGAAATGAAAAAAATAATATTTGTGATATATTGTTACTTTGTAAACATCACTTATTGATTATACAATCTCTTTTTTAATGATTAATTAATTAAAACTTACTGCTGAGACGTTCGATAAGTTGAAAAAATATTATTTATACTTATGTGTGTGTGCTTGCTTGCTATTTTATTATCAAAATATTTTCTGATAGAAAAGTTAATTTAATGCATTAGATTAAATTAAATTACGTAAATAATCTAACCGGTTTTCCTCATAATTTTGCTAATTTATATGCAGTTATGTATCAAAGAATTTCCTTGGGTGGACAAGTCAGTATTTCAATTTCTGCTTTAATTATTACTAGTAATGTATTCGCACCCAATAAAATAATTATGATACGGTAATTACACTGTATATGCCTATTGCAATGTTATTTTATATTGTGGCCTGTTACTATATATAAACAATAACTTAATAATATGTCTAAAATACGATAGGTACATTATTTATTACTTATTTAGAAAACGAAACGGTTATGATTGTTGTAAACATTGAGTACTCAAACAATGATATTTATATTCATTATTCAATCAAAGATAATTAAGAGGAGAACATTGATGCAATTCAATTCTCAGATAACCTCATTATTTTACATATGCATTCACATTACATCTTTATTATGATGACTACCGAAGGTGTAAGAAAACACTTTATTGTTGTTACAATGATTATTTTGCAATAGCTATTTAAAAAAAGGTTTCTAGTCTTTGATATAAAATATCAAATAATACTTTTAAATCAGCAATTCGTATTTTAGATCTTTTTAGAATTTTCTGTTCAGCTGGTTTTTCTATGCCAATATCCATATTTTCTGTATCTTGTTTCAAATTTGGCAATTGTTTATCATAATTTATCACGGGCTATTTTTGCGTAACAGTCTTGCATAAAGTAATATAACAATAAACCGATCGCACATGCCTTCGTGCATTGATTTTAATCTTTTAATGCAAGTTCGTCTTCTAATGCAAGCTATGGTGACAGTTTCGGTCAATTGAAAATTCACTGTTATCCTTATTCATGAGGCTTTTCCGTAGTTTAACTGGAAAGGTTTGGCCGACATTGTTGCATCATTAAAGATCAATGATTTAATTTAGTGAGATTAATTTTAATAATTTAAAAAGCAGAGATAAACCGATTGTTGGGTATAGCCTCCTAATCTAAAATTCTGATGTTTTGCTTTGCTGTTCAAATCCAAAAAAGTCAAAAACTTTATGAGTTATGGTTTTAGAAAAGTATGGTATGCGTCATTCAGGAATGAACATTATACCGTTTATCGAAATACGGTGACAAAGAAAACGAACTTGAGTGACACCAGAGCATGGTATGTAATAATAATGAATGTGACAATGGGTTCGACGTAAGCCGTGAATATTAATGGTGCGTTGATCTCTTTTAAGGCAATGGATTGTGTGCCATGCCCCAAGCCAAAAGAAATTTACTGTATATATATATATATATATATATGCATATATATATATATATATATATATATATATGTATATATATATTTGCCTAAAGGTATATCCATGGTGTCAGAAAATTACATTGTATTTAGTACCCATCTCGTCTACAGTTCACTTTTTATTTTTCAAATTTCTGCGCACATGATGCTTCTGTGTCCTGAGCTTCGTCTGCAATTTTTCCTAAATTTTTCTTCACGCATAAGTCGTCAAATAAACGTGTTGTTGAAGAGAGAGATTTTATGAAAAATCTTTAACAAAAATATACTTTTCCAAGATTCGAATTTGGATTATGTGTTTCCCAACCATCTGAATTTAAATGAATGTATTTTTAAATTTAGGTGGCTGAATTATTAGTTTCTACTTGTCTTGTTGTATAGGGTTTATTAGCATTCACTTTTATTTCTATGTATTTAACCTACAATTGGCATCAAACGACTCCGTGAATAGCAAAGTGATTTTTCATGTCAACTTTCAAGTCACTGCCTTCAATGCATAAATCCATTAAACAAGTTCAAAGGCATTGTAACGGATATTAAAAACAAATCTATTTAAACCTTATAGTTTTGAATTTCAAGTCTATGCTACTTTCAACGAAATATGGTAATAAATAATAAGCTCCACCATATCTCTTAATTTTCATATACTTATTGCCATATTTAATTTTTTTATGATTATTCTATATATCTAGATCGAATGAATAATATAATTTAGTAAAAACTATGTTTTTATTTACTAATTATATACTCATTATAATTTTATAAATTATAATTCATAAACTTTAATTTGACAAATATAGAACCGTGATCATCTTTTTAAATCTTGTTCACTAGCCTTCTATTTTTGTGATGCCTACATCACTCCCCTTTATTTAATACAAATTAAAGGATACATGGTTTCAAACCACAATGTAGTAACCACAGTAAATAATTCGCCAATTTAAAATATGAAACATCGATGAATAATTGCTTAGGAATTTATCACGTGTTCATCAGAATATAAGAAATACGATGGTAATTTCGTGAGCAAACTCCGACTTCATTCATTGAATCTGCATATTTAATTCTCTATGTAAATATACATTTCTGTACATATATGTATATGTATATATATATATATATATATATATATATATATATATATAATACACAAATATAATTTTGTGGTATAATAATATAACTTTTACCTAAAGACACACCCTGATGAATTTGAAAAAACTGCAGTCCCAAGACATAATTTGAATTCTTCAATGCGACCATTTGGATTACAATTTTATAAATTAATGTCATATATTATTTAAAAAATTTCACTTTTTGGCAATTTTTAGTTAAGAAGTCATATAATAATCTTTCACGCTTTGGTTCGGTATCTGAGAAATTGTTTCAGCGGAGTTTTATATTTAGTATTTAAATTAATATCCATCTATTTCAACTATTATGTGGATATTTAAATTTAGCTATTTGCACTAAAATCGATTTTTTTACTTGTTATGTAATTTTTACCTCTTGAAGATTGCTAATAAGAATCTTTTATTAAATATGACGTGAATGTAAGCATATTTATTACTTCAAATAATATTGTTCTTATGCTAAGTACATGACATCATCTTTTTATAATGTTTGTATGATTCGAAGGTATATATATATATATATATATATATATATATATAAATATGTATTTGTATAGTTTTAGTATTTCCAAGATCACTTGCCAAATATTTGACTTATGATTATTACCGTATATTGTTCAATTTGATTCATTTTTGAATCAGTTTCATTAATATCATCTTTTACACGCTATTTATTTTCTTTTACCAACTATTACATAGAAAAAATGTAAAACATTTCATCATTAAGAAATACAGACCTTCTTTGTTTAGAAAGAAAACTTTTGCTGAAATAAGTATGTATTTAAATAATCTATGTGACTAATTATTAAAATTTTCTCATGGTATTGCTTAACTTCAAAATATCTTTCTGGGAATCATTTGTGTACAATGGGCGTTTTGTTTGTAATTAATGAAATGTATTAAAAAGTATATAGTTGCTAAATATAATTACTAAAATTAAAGTTAACCCATCTTTTCGTCCTTCGTAATACTATTACGAAAAATATCAAATCTCTTTTATAAAAATCAGATAATTTAAAAAATATTTCATACTTTTATATTATACTTATATTTCATTTTAGTTTTGTTTTAATTTCTCGATATTGTGATATGTGTGATCTGTAGTATATATTGTAGTAGTTTGTCATTATTATATAATTATTTATTTTATTAGTTTTGATACTAGTGTGTCATTCAGGTAAAATAATACAAAATACTTTCTATAACAAAATAATTATATAATTTGATTATAAATAATGTACTAATACCAACCAGAAAATTAGTAAAAAAAAAATTAAATAAACTCGAAATCATTGCCACATTTTTATTAGTTTTTAAATAAACAAATATTTAAGACAGATCTAGGTAAATTTATCAATATTAATAATTTTATATTATGATTGGGTTTTCCATGGGTTTTCATAATATTTTGAAATTGAAATTTCTGTTAAAGTGATCTGTTTCTTTGATTCCTGAATTTTTGCAAAAATATTCTAATATGATATGTATATAGTGTAATTTTTGGTTTAAAATGTTAGTTTTTTTTAAGTTAATTATTTAGTGTGTTTTCCCTTAGCTGGTATACATAGTTTGATTATTTGGTATTATTATGTTATTAAATATGCTTTGTATATTTTTAGGATGATGAGACACATTTTGTTCTCGTAACTATACTCTGAAATAATCAAACTGTAAAAAAGTTTTATATGAAAGATTTTACTTTAAATTGTTTTTAATTATTTTAAACCCACAATTTCTGCAAATATCATTGGTCGGTAATATTTGCATGATAATTTGTATTAAAATTATTTGCTTTTCTACATCGAAATTTTTAATTATTTAATTAAATTCCTTCTATTCGTCTAAAGATTTCAACATCAGACTACTTCTACTACTACAGCAGAGCCGTATATTTGCGTGAATCTAAATAACCGTGTGATTTTTATTTCAAAGAAAATATATGTTTCTAAAGCACATTCTCTATTATTCTGGATTAGTAAAATGCGTTACGTCAAAAACAAGCGAAAGAATAACAGACATTTCCTGATGCTTAATGCCGAATTAAGTACTAACTACCTTTCCACTTAATGAACCTCTCTTACTCAATGTCAAACATATGATTTATTTCGTATTAGAATGTAGATTTTGCATAAGTGGTAATATATAAGCACTTATAAATATTTCACATTGGTAAATATATTTATATATAGATTAGGAACTTGAACTCGATTCTAATGGAAGAAAGGTAGCTTTTATTACTTCCAATCCTGGTGTCTCTGTAAAGGATTTATAATCAGGGTGGGATTTATGCCCGGATTAAGTTGAAGACTGTATGAAAATTGAATTATGCTTATTACATAGAGATAATATTTTATTAGTACATGAAAGTCCTTATCGAGGTACATCGATAGTTTTTAAATTTTTCAAATCGTTGCAGCCGTTTTAAAAAAAAATCAAATTCTGGAATACGTACAAAAACACCCATACTTCTTCTAATTTCGTTGTCAACCAATTCAGAATGTCTTGAAACGTCGAGAAAAGATGAAATTAGCGAATGGTGGATTTTCTGGTTAAAACATAAACTTCTCCTTCGGAAAAAGTTAAAAAAATAATAAAAATAAATTAATAAATAATATAATTCAAAAGTCTATTTAAATTACTTGAGCTTAAAATTTATATATAACATATATTCAAAACTTATATTTGTGAAAAGATGTACTTATATCATTTTTAGTATCAGCATATTAAAATCGCTTATAATAACTATTATAATTCATTGTTGTTAAAAATTGCATGTATTAATTTACATTTTTATACATTATATAAATTATTTGAAAAACTTTATTTATAAGTAAGTGAGTGTTGCAGTTATATTGCAAGAATGTTATTCGAACACCAGTTTTAAGAAATGTAATTTTACCAAATATTTTAAATTTTTATTATGGATCAATCATGTTAGTTTGAAGATGATGATATATTTAAATGATGTGGAAAATACCAATACATCAGAATATATGTTAAATATTTTATATTTGTTATTTTAGTTATGAATCATATTCTTGTTTGTTCATTTTTTAAATTGTTTTCATTGTTCGTATCTATCGTCTTTAGAATTTCCATATTCAACAATAAAGTTTAATTTGTAATTATATTTTACTAGTAGAATTTAATAAAAAACTAAATTTACTTAAAAGAAAACTACAATCATCTGTTGTTTTCCACATGTTTTTCTTCAGCTCAAGGCTAAGATCAGTAGATTTCTCTTTTTTTGTAAAAAACGACAACATTTGATTATGTGATGGATTAAACCATTTAGACGTAGAATAATTTGAATTTAGAATTTAGAAAATTTCGATTTCTGATGATTCATTCATTCATTCACTTGATGAAACACGTGTAGGGTCGAAACGTAAAATAGATAATTGTCTATATTTATTTAAATTTTTCGGGCGGAATCTTACTGGTGTTTTAATCTCGTAATATAATATTTTATTCAATTCATCATAAATATATGAGCACCTTCTATTTCCAGATATATTTTGTAACATAAATAATAATTCAATATTCTAATAATTCTATAATTTCTCCGGGCTATATATGCTATTGCATACGATCATTTTTAGACATAGAGAATGCCTCGTTTTATATCTTATATAACCATTATAAACATAAAACTGTGACATAAAACTTTCATTCCAATTTGCATAGTGAGAAGAACTAATATTTTGACATATCGACATTATTTACACTTAAAAGTGAAAGTTTTTTTTAATAACGTGCTCTTATATCATTTAGTCAACAAAGTCATAAATTTGTACTTCTATTAAAATTAACAAAAAAAAATCTTTAATAGAGAAGGTTTATTTTCCGATAAGTAAAGCATCGGTAACTTTTTGTATTTCATTATTTTCTTTAATTATATGATTACATTTATATCGGTGGAGCAGAGTTTCCAATTCTACTTAGTCATGTATTTAATTTTTTGCTCATAATTATTCATTCACCATCGATCTAATGAAAGGAAATGCCTTCAACACCTTATATAGAGGTATGTAAAACGTGGCCATAATAATATAAATATGAATAAAGTTCTGTTAGCAATAATAATTAGTTTTACTAATTTAATTCAAATCAGCCGGAAGACAGTTTATGTAGTAATAATTTAGTCAGTTCAAAAAAAAGTCGAAATTCATCTCTTCTCTATATTGCAACTTTTTAACATTGAACTGTCTATTTTTATTAGTGCTAATTACCTCAGCGCACAACTATTTTGTCAATAATTGTTTTTGAAATAATGAAATGAAATATAAGCTTCAGCTCTTGGCCTTATTTATTCTTTTCTTTAGCCAACTTCATTCTAGTTTATTCTTCTTCCTAGCCTAATTCATTCTTACTTATTCTTACTTATTTCTTTTTAGCCAAATTTACTCTTCTCTATTCTTCTTTCTATGCTTCATTCTTGCTTATTCTTCTTCCTAGCCTAAATCATTCTTACTTATTTCTTTTTAGCCAAATTTACTCTTTTCTATTCTTCTTTCTATGCTAATTCATTCATGCTTAATCTTTTTCTTACTCATTCTTACTCATTTTTATTGTTATTCATGTTTATTCAGGCTTATTCTTACTTACTTCTTACTTATTTCTTTTTAGCCAAATTTATTCTATTTTATTCTTCTTCCTATCCTAATTCATTCTTGCTTATTCTTCTTCCTAGCCTAAATCATTCTTACTTACTTCTTTTTAGCCAAATTTACTCTTTTCTATTCTTCTTTCTATGCTTCATTCTTGCTTATTCTTCTTCCTAGCCTAGATCATTCTTACTTATTCTTACTTACTTCTTTTTAGCCAAATTTACTCTTTTCTATGCTAATTAATTCTTGCTTATTCCTTTTCTCACTCATTCTTACATTTTTATTGTTATTCAAGTTTATTCAGGCTTATTCTTACTTACTCTTAATAACTTCTTACTTATTTCTTTTTAGCCAAATTTATTCTATTTTATTCTTCTTCCTATTCTAATTCATTCTTGCTTATTCTTCTTCTTACTAATTTTTATTGTTATTCAAGTATATTCGGGCTTATTCTTCTTCCTACCCAGTTTCATCATTTTACTTATTGTTGTTTCTTTTATTAATTTTAAATATTAGTCAAATTCATTCTTACTTATTCTGTTCTTTATCCAGATTCATTCTTATTCTTTCTTCTTCTTAGTCAGATTCATTCTTACTTATTCCTGTTTTTAGATTCCAGATTCATTGTTACTTATTCTTCTTTTTAGCCAAATTTATTCTTACTTGTTCTTCTTCTAGCCAGATTCATTCTAACTTGTTCTTCTTCCTAGACAGAACCATCTTGCTCGTTCTTCTCCTGCCTTAGCAAATAGCTAAATCAGGCATAATTATTCATTCTTGAGTCATTATCACAACAATTGATTTCATAGATGATATCTTCATTATGTGAGCATACGATATTATACGATTTCTGCATTGTTCTTATTTCTATCCAACTGGTATGTGTAGAATTGGGACAGTTGCATATAGCGTGCTATGGATGGTGTCGCAATTTAGTTCACAACTGTTGTGTACGGTCACGTTAATATTTATATGGAGAAAAAATATTTACAATATTGCTTCTATCTATATCACACTGGTTGGAATGGATTCTGGAACTGGTACACGTGATAGTAACAAGAGTAAAGGATAAGGTAATATGAATGGTATTAGACTTTAGGTATGGCACGTGGGAATATTGGAATGTAAAAGTTAGGATTTGGTAATATTTTAGAATTATTTGATCCAGATTGTCAAAAAATCTGGTTGTTTGTAAGCATAAATATCTGTACTTTGTGATCTCCATAGATGATCTATTTACTTTCAAGCAGAAGAAGCCTAGTAGTGATTTTCACTTACTTTAGAAATTCTATCTATTTACCTCAATCTTGGACTTAGGTCAATGTTGTTTTTCCAAAGTGCATGAATACAAATTGTTGTGCACTTGACTTTTTGTTCTAATGTAAAGTATTATTATTTATTCTATGTATTCATTTGCAGCCTCATGGGACATTTGAAGACCGTAACGTTTTCTTTGCAAAACAATATGTTTTAATTACTGCTGTATTTACAATAGAGTATTTATTAGTACGTTTGTGAAATGTTAAATATATGTCTAGTCACTTTAAGACGCCTTGTTTAGGTTTTTTTCAACTGCCGAGCAGTATACGCGTTCGTGAATGCTTATGCAAATTATTTGCTACGCTTATATAATAGACAGTTAACATAATTTTCATACTACCTCGAACTATATTTGTTTTTGCGAAACAGATTGTTCATCGATTAAGAAAACGATGTTTATTTAATGAGATTAATTGCATAGTTTGAGATCATGCGGATTATTTTTTTCTATATTTTTAATTACCTTCCTCAGTTAATAGGTATATATTTATATATTTCTGGGTTAAGTACCAGATGATACAGTTTTATCGCTTGTAAAAGAATAGATTAATGACTTAATAGAATATAGAGTTCGTTGGTTCGATACCCGCTACCGCCAAAGCCCGACATCAGGCAACTTTTATGTCAAATTTCCACTTGAGGTTATAGATCTCAAATATAGCCTCAAGTGAAAATCGTCTTTCGAGGGTATAATTGCATATATATAATAAAAATGTCAACTAATACTTCGAGTATAGTTAATTAGCCATAATTGCATTGGACAACTACCGGGTTTCCATCCATTCAAAAATTCATATAATAAAGTCAAAACAATTAATGAATGTCCTAAGTATGACATATTGTAATTTTAAAAAAAATGTAGGGTCAACATATGCACGGCTGTTTTTATTTTCCGTTAATGGAGGCTAGGATGTTATAAAATTTGGTATAAATCGGATCGGTTTTAATTAAAATAATATTCGATTATAATATTTTATGTCTAAATTTATTAAATTATAATTTTCAACTCACCAGACATAGGCTTGAGGCCGCACAAGCGATGAAAAATAGAGTGCTACTCGAACAAGGCAACATTCTCTATCCGATTGAAAATTTGCATGTCAAAGTATCTGATACACACGATGTATTTGAAATAACACTTGTATTTATATTTATATTATTTAAATATTTATTATTGTAATTGTGTCTGAATTTATTGCGCGCATTAACACTCGTCATTATATTTTGGAAAATGTTGATTAGATTTTAGCAGAACATTTTGTAAACAAACTTATTGATAGTGATTTTCTTCTGAAAGTACATATGGTATAATTAATATATATGTATATGTATATATATATATATATATATATTGTTAAATTTATATACGTATTCACAATGGTATATATCTCTATATATTTTCGAATATAATTTTTAGCTGATGGAAAATTAGTATTTCGTTAAAGAATAGTATCAAAGTTCCTGAAGAAGAATATAGATGAAAATTAAAATAAATGATTTTTTGTAGGGGAAAAGCATTTGGTTCAGAAAATAAAATCATTAACTATTCAATATCCTTACAAATTGATATTACAACCAATAATTAATAATATATAATCAATCAGTAAGGATATTTGATGTTATCATATATTTTTAATAGTATTATTATTACATATTTGCAAATATTCTGACTCTAAATAGCAGTGTCTTGGCAATGACTAATAACATTCAGTGTACATTTAACAAAAATTTTAAAATATGCTAGGTATAAAAAATTGACTATTTTATGTAAAATAAATTCGGTAGTCAATTGTACACCAGTACTATTTTTGGTTTATGTATTTTATTATAAAATTTGTTTAATGCATTACTTCTCTATAAATTAATTTAATCCCTGACAATGATAAGAAGACTTTGTATTTTTAGAGTAATTCTTTTTAATCCTACAGGTGTAAAAATTACTATATAATAATTATAAAAGAACGCTGATTTATTATTATGAAACATATTAGAAAAGCGTTAGAACAATAGAATAAATAAGGAAATTATACAAAATTGTGTCGATTTATCGTACGCCCTCATGTTTGCTATTTGAAACATGCAATTTCCATTCATATATATATATATATATATATATATATATATATAATATCTCTTTAAAAACACGATAATTGCGTTTTATATTCCGGCATTCCGGGTACCAGCATGTATGACTTCACGAACGCGAAATTTAATTCAATGATAATTTTGATTTCACAAAAGTCTTAATTATGTAAATTTGATGTAGAATAAGATAGTTTAAAGAAAGTGCCTCTACCTTTTATGCGCATATTAATTATCACGATATTAAAATATGAGGAAATTAGAGTTGTGCCATTTCATTTGGAAGTTTTCTTTAATTAGAAATTTAAATTAGTTAAAGTTTGCTATGAAATTGCAGCTGTATTTATTGGTTAATTATTATGATGTAAAAAAATTGTTGTAATTACTCATATTGAGCTATAAAAATTATTCTTGGTTGGTTGATAATTTTTAAATAAATAATTTTTGTACTGGTTTTAATTAACAAAAACATGGAGGAAAGGTTTTAATGTATTTATAACACTATCATGGTTAGCTTATTATTGTGTTATATGGAGTTATAATAAAGTCAAAGAACCTAATTTAGCTAAAAACATAAAATTTGAACAGACTTTTGTTATTAAAATATAAGTTGTTTTAACGCAAAAAAATCATAACATTATTTTTTTTTTCTTTATCAAGAACTGCTGTAAGTATAACAATTTTATATCGTTAAGAATTATTTTATAGTTTTTTATTACACCTTTTGTGACTATTTTTTTAAAAAAATATGTTTTTATTAGGTTTTTTCTCCTGGCATAAAATTTATTTGACTAGTTTTTAAATCATTTGCTATTAATTTGATTCTCTATACACAAATTTAAGTACTTCATGTTTCACTGTTCAAAATAACTGACTTATAGAGTTGATCCTATATAATTTTTTTCCTAACATAAATTCTATTTAAATAGTTTTTATATAATTTTAATTTGTTTCATTGTACACATACAAAATCATATTTATTATTCAAAACAACTTGTTTTATTAATTTTACCAATTTCTCATGATCGCACTATCACTGACTTCTTTAAATCTTATAACCGACATTCACATTTTAATAAAGTTTCTACACATATAAAGCACACTATTTATTAGTATTTGATAAATCACGAAAGAATCCAGTTATTGATTTTAATATTGGAACAACATTTGCGAATGTGGTCAGAGGAAAAAAATCGTCTGTCTTTCCGATTTGCCAGTCACATTTCTACTAACAACTAACGTATGACAGGTAAATACACAGGTATTCCATACACCTCCACCAAGCTAATAAGACACGTGCTTGATTCTTATGAGAAATGCGTGATTCTAATTCGTATTTGTATAAGAAGGATGGAATATATTTTATGAACAATTTTATGGAAGTAGTTGGAATTATTATAAACAAATATAAAACTATTTGATAGAGTTATTAGTCATCTATTTTATTTATTTATTATTTATTTTATTTTATCATTTCTAATATTGCTATTTTGTTATATCTACTATTATCTTTTACTTATTGTTTTTATTCTACTTTATTGATTTTCTAGTATTATTTTTATTATTCAAAAATTTTACTTATTAATTTTATTATTATTAATATTTGCTTTTATTTTATATTAAATCAACATACTACGGATATCATTTTATTGAAACTTCTATCCTTTATTTTGTGCTCTTTTTATTAAATATATATAATTGTTCTTTACTGTTACTAGATGTTAATTTATATAACAGTTGTAACAATTATAGTAATTGAAAAATTAAAAAAAATCTATATAATTTATAAAAATGATGGATAATCCAAACATGCAAATACGAAATGAAATCGAATCATACAGAAAAGCCATTTGAATAAATTAATGATGATTAATAATTATTAAAAATTAATAGCTGTAAGTGAATTTCACCCATTTTATTTATTGTTTTTATTATTGTAGTTTTACTGGATTATTACAAATTTCTTCTACAAATAAATTATATTGTTTATTTATTATTTTTATTCGACGTATATGTATGTTTTACATATACCAGTGCAAATTGGATTTTAATTTTGTATGTTATACGAATTAATGTTATTAAAGCAAATAAATGTAAATTTATTCCAAATTATAATAATAATCGAATTGTTGGTATTTTTACATTGTTCAGTCACATATACGCTTTCTAGCGTTCAGAAATGTTTGCTTCGATTAAAAATATCTGATAAAAAGTAGGTACATATCTAATTTATATTGCTATATAGATTTTATTTTTGAAAATTGAAATTGTCAGTTAGATCGAAAACAATCTAAAAAAAGTTAATGTAGTACACTAAAAGTACCTTCGTTCTACTTATTTGTTGCAATAAAAATATTTTTATAAATTGGCTAATGTGAAAATTTAATGTCTGTATATTTTATATCATACACATCACTCAATTATTCCCTAGGATATATTGTAACTGATTAATAATTTAATATTAAGATATATTGTAACTGGCCATTATAAAATGTAATAAAACTTCAAGCAAATCCTTGCTTAATTATTGATTAAATCATATTATATCAAGTTCCTACGAACTTATAAAGTGATGTGTTATCAATGTATAATAAACATTAAAGATTATACATTTATATTAAATACATTATGTATAAAAGATAAATTAGTGGCCAGGAATCTTCGATGCATCCTACATGTGAGTAGTTTTCAAATTTACTATTTTAGAAAAATTCTTTAATTATCAGTTTCCACTTTTAATAATCAAAGAGGGTAATCTATATAAATATGTAATATTTTGAACAATATAAAAATAAGTTCATTTATTTTTTTTAATCCGTACTACATATTTGGAAATATCAATGTGCAGTACAGTTTGCTCAGATTTGGTATGCAATTTTCTTCGCTAATATTTTTATAGTTTTATTTAATATTTTCTATTATTAAAGACCTGAAACATATAGAATCTTCACTTAAATATTTTATCCTGCTTGGCTTGCAGGTTCTGTGGGAGATGTTTAAACAATAATAAAATGAAATGTCGAAATCATATGAGTGCGTGGTCGCTCAATGAAAGTTAATATCACCTTGAAACCTACCTTTTGTATTGTGTGCAATTGTATTCTCTATATATGTATATGCACATCATTGCATACTAGATTTTTTTTAACATATCGACAGCTTGTTTATAAAACAGAAACACAGTAAGTAACATAAATTTACAACGTTATTTTTTATGAAATCATATATTGCCAGAAATTCCCATACTCCGATAAAATTAAAAAAAAATCTTCCGGAGAAGAGTCAAAATCTTCTTCAAAGATCCAGAAATTATTCAAGCCAATTAAACGAGCATTCAGCTGCCAAGGGGGATTGAAGGTAAGTTTTTTTAGATAGATTTAAAACGCAATAATAATAACAAGAGCTTAGTTTATAATCTATTTTATTCAATAGATCATTATGATAGTAATAGTATTGGCTAAATCTTCTGATCGCCAGAAATACTAGAAATGCATTCAAAACCAACATCTGAACCCAGAAACAGATCCTGAAATTAACGCTTGGTGTAAATACTGTAGAATTGCTTAAAATTATACTCAAACGAAATCTGTATATCTGAGAAAGGGCAATCGGGTTAACTTTGTCGAGGTAGTAGGAGGATGTGTGGTTAAAAAATAACAAGCTTAAAGAAATTTTTGGGAATTATTAGTTCAGAAGAATAAATTCAAATGGCGTCCAAATAAATGCCCATTGATCGTCAAGAGGTACTAGATGGCATTTTAATTCGATTCTTTACACAGGGATCTTTACCAAATACTTGGAGCTGTCAAGAGTTTAACTATCAAGTGTGTCAGATGAAATTGGGCAAAACAATCTATAGTCCTTCTCAAATTAGGCAAAAGCGTTTCAAAACAAAGTAGTAGTGTTCAACGATCAAATAGCCGAGATCGTTTGGTCGCCACCGTGTTGACTGAAGGTACCTCGGATCGATTCCCGAAGGCGGTAAATAAGAACTTGTTGTGGTGGCGGTTGTCCAATGGGGCATTGGTTAAAATCGCCAAATGAACTCATAGATTGTTAGATGTACATGTTTAGTTGAAGAAAAGTAATAGCTTATTTTTCGAAAATCTTCAAATTCTTGAATTTGACAAGACTTTCCTATCAAAATTGTTTCGAAGAACAGATGAATAGCTGCAGTCGTTAGCACGCCGTCGAGGTAGTAGAAATTGGGCGCAACTATCTTTAGTCTTTCTCAAATTAGGCAAAAGTATTTCAAAACAAAGTAGTAGTATTCAACGATCAAATAGCCGAGATCGTTTAGTCACCACCGTGTTGACTGAAGGTACCTCGGATCGATTCCCGGAGGCGTTAGATGAAAACTTGTCGTGGTGGCGGTTGTCCAATGGGGCATTGGTTCAAATCGCCAAACGAACTCGTAGATTGTGCATGTTTAACAATAAGTAACAGCTTATTTTTCGAAAATCTTCAAATCCTTGAATTAGACAAAAGGCTTTCCTATCAAAACAGTTAAGAACAAAAGGCGAATAGCTGCAGTCGTTAAGACACCGTCGAGGTAGTAGAAAGTTTCTCAGATCGGACCCAGAAGAGGTACGAATGTACGGGTGAAAAATAACGAGTCTGCAATTTTTCCGAATTGTGATATATTAGTTCGAAAAAATAAATGCGGATGGCGCGCAAAGAACTTCTCAAATTAGACAAAAGCGTTTCCAAAAAAAAGCAAAAATGTTCAACAGTCAAATAGCCGAGAGCGTTTGGTCACCGTCATATAGACTGAAGGTTCCTCGGATCGAATCCCAAAGGCGTTGGACAAAAGTTCAAAACCTAGTTTTTCGGAATCATCAAAAATTAGTTCCAGATATTAATTGTAGAGGGCGCATTTCGACCTTGACACTTAGAATATTTCGGAAAAACTTGCTTGACTGTAATACATATAAAAGGAGAGATGACAAGATAAAGGAGAAACGGCGAAAAGAAGAAGGTAGAGGGCGGTGATGAGTAAGAGACGTGAGTGCAGGAGACATGTGATTTATTAAAATTCACTATTCATACAACATAAGAATATAAGAATAGCATGTTTCATCAATTAATCAAATAGCCGAGTGGTTAGAGCGAGCGACTACTTGATAACATCACATGGATGGACTCTGGAAGCGAACGTGAGGCAGATCGAATCCAGCTCGAAGCTACTAGGAACTCTGATGCAGAAAAAAATAGAGCAGTGGTGGTGGTAGCTGTTGGCAGACGCGGAGGGTCCTGAAACACACGAGGTAGATAGATGGTCAACCTAAGGCTGATGATGCAAGAGATACCCACAAAGGGTCACATTGCGGACGACGCATGCCAAATCCAAAAATCTACCACAACATGCAAAAAAAAACACCAAAAAAAAAAAAAAAAATGTGAAAAAAGCGAAAAAAAAGAAAAAAAGAGGAGGAGGAGGAAGAAGGGGGAAGGGGAGAGGCCAAAAAAAAACCCCCTAAGTCCTATTTAGCGATTTCACTCTCCGGTTCAGCGTTGAAACTTTTTTATGTTTTTCAGTGTACCCTCATACCAATTCCCAAAGCCAACACTCGAATGAAATGAAGTCCACTTTGAAATTTCATAACGAGAAAATATTACTGGGACTTAGTCAAAATTTTTAAATATGCCCCAATAAAATTTTCTCGTCATGAAATTTTCAATGTGGGACTCATTCATTCAAATGTTGGCTTCGGGATGATATAGCATGCATAAATAACTCTTCTGTCATAATCGAAAAGGTTTCAATAGATATCGATTTGAGAAAAGAAAAAATGATAGAAAAATAATCACAATCGAATCAATAAAAATTAATGATTGATCTCGCCTGATTCAAAATTGTTAATATGACTTAATGAAACAAGTGAAACCTTCACGATTAATCGAGACAAAAACAAATGTAGTTGATTTGAATGATATAGTATTAAAATATTTTCAATGAAATTGTAAAAGAACTTCAACAAAATTGTGAACATTGTAAATCTTTAAAAATTGAATGGAACAAAATACTTATTATTTGTTAAATCATTCAAATCAACACTGCAAAACTTTAATCAAACTACATAAACTCGAATGATCAAATAATCACGCTAAGAAGACAAAATTATAAATACCAACAAAATACCAAATACTGTCAAAATAATTCTCAAATAAATAATTTAAGTTTTTACCAGTAATACAATATTCTGCATTTAAATAAAAATCAATCGAGTTAATATAGTAGTCATTAAAGTCTAATTGTATATGATGTGACTTGATTAATTAATATACTGAGCTATTCTTAGAAATATATTGAATATGGAAGAAATTCTTAATTCTTATTCTTTCTATTTCTTACAAACAAATAGAAGAAAATCCTAATAAAACAAAAAAAAGTGCAAAAGATCACTTTGTTCCGTAAAACACTCATTTGTTACTAATTTGTGAATTTTTAACAAATTTAATTACTTGCTCAACATAAGAATTAATCGAATCACCATTGATTACATGTGAAAACTATAATTGTGTTGAATTTAATGAAAAAATGTGCATTGAAAATCACTATGGGGAAAACACATGATTCTTGATACTATAAATGTAATAAATTCTTTGCTGTGATTAGTAACAACATCCACAAGGTAATGTATTAAAGAATATTATTCATTCATATTCATTATTCATTTATCCATGAACATCTTATTTATAAAATAAAATAAATCGCCTCGTGAGATACTTTTGCTGTTAAGGCTTGTGAGGCTTGTTATTAGACTATTTATGAATAATAATAAAATACAAATTAATTACAACTAATATGTATGAGAAGTATGAGCTTTTGTATTACAAAGATTTAAAAAATTTAAATTTCACTTGCTTAATTAAAAAAATGAATCATGATGTTTTTCCCATATTGAATTGGTTAAAATCATTTTATTGCTTTTCGAGAATCACTTTGCCAATTTAATAATTAACCAAAACATGTTTAATGCTTGTGGAAACATTTAAGACATTTAAGACAACAATGTCTTTTTTAGATTGACATCACAGCAAGTGATATTCAAAAACATATACACACACATCTGCTGAAGTAGTTTGGTTTCGAAGTTCATAAATTCAAATAATACTTGATAAAAATAAGCACAGGTTAAATTTAATTTTATTCGATAATAGATTTGCAGAAAAAAAACAAATTAATATAGTTGAGATTGCCACAAGTAATATCATGTCAATATAACCCTTTATTAACTAAATCAACTTAAATATGTGTAATAAAGATTAAGACAGAAGCCTCTGCAGCACTGACAACGTAATCTCTTTAAATAAGTTAATGATTAAATAAATGAATAACAACTTTTTTCAGCAGACGCATGTATAAAAATTGTAGTCATGCACGAGTCAAGAAATATTTCACTGAAGTCCATCCAGGCCCAATATATATAATTTTTGAAGCATTACAATAATAATTTTTAAGCCTGTACATGATTCCAGAGATATATTCTACGACACATTATGTATAAATAATTCTTTGACTCACATTGACCAAAATACTCCAAAGCAGCTGCTAGAAGCCCCGAAGCTCGACACTGCATCTCCAGTTCAAAAACACATAGTCACTACTTTGAACACTAATTTAATACGATTATATAAATACTAAAGTGACTCATTTCTTGTAAATCTCAGCACCATACTTTTAAAAGTAGTAACATATTAACAAAACTTAACCCGAACCGCATTTCCACTTTTATGTCTATTGATATTTTGCGATTGTCTGAATGAAGTCATTGCACAAAACACAACACAGTGTTATAGGCTTATATTGGAAACTTTTAATAAAGAATTGATGATTTAACTTTTTAAGATAATCAGATATGCTGCTAAAGTACTTACTGCTTCCCAAAGCATATAGACATAATTTATATATTTTGCAATATCATATTTGAATAATAAAGGATACATTGGAAGCTCTGTAAATAAGATAATAATAGTCATTAGAATACCACCCTGAAAGAAATATTTATTATTATAAGACAATGATGATGAAGCTCTAAGCACATTAACATATATCTGTTTTGCTGTTTTTTCAACAGTATATTCCCATATATTTTTTATATCACAATCATCTAACAAATTAGTTTAACACCGAGATGCATAAATTAATTAAATTTAATTAAGATTTTAATTATTATTTGTAATTTACGAAAGACGTGCTTTTTCCAATAAATCTATAACAAAGTGCCAAAAAAAATGGCCGCCGCCATCGTCTAAACTCTGCCGCTACTTGTCAATTGAGACGAGCGCGCGAATTTCGAAAAAAACTCCTGAACAATATTGATCTAATTGGCTAATTAATATATATAATAGTAATTATTTGTTCAAAGCGAATCTGACTAAAAGTTGAATTTGAATTCAATTCAAAATAAACATAGATTACAGATTGAAATTGAATTAATATTATAATTATTGTACGGGTTTGGCATATCATATTTTGAAAGTTCGATGACAGTGACAGTTCAATGTTTTGCAATAATATTATATCACAGACAATGATTATTTACAACACGTTGAATTAACTATATCATAATTAGTTGGTTTAAATTTAATCATGTACGCAGAAATTGACGTTTTTATCAGTAATTATACCCTAGTTGATCCCGAAATATATCAATTGTGGATTGAGGGTTACTCATGTATGTAACTAGCAATTACTAGATTTATACTTTTTATTATATAGATATCGTTATCGTTTGTTTAATTTTGCTTTTATTATTTCCCATAATTAGCATCTGAAGCAGTTTCCATTTTAAAACAAAATGGGGTTATTCAACAAATTGGGGTTCCACTAGACCTAATAGCTTCGGATGTCCTGGACCATTACAGGTTGTATGTTTTACTTTATTAAAAAGAAATATAAATAACATTTCTTCATTTGATATAGGACATATTCATTACTTGAAAGACTATTGGGAAATCCACCAAAATTATCAGAGCAGCCTGCATTTCAGTTAGAACCACAAACACGAACACTTTTAATCGAAAAGTGAGAATTTAATTAATAAATAATAAGATAATAGTATTTTCTATTAAAATTTTATTATGGAATAATATTTATTTTATTGCACAGGTATTATTCTTTAGATGATATTGTTGTGAGAGAGCTTCTAGGTAAGAAATTATCATCAAGGCATAGGAAGGATTTAGACGAAGTTGCCGATAAAACCGGTGTCAAATTAAAATCATGCAGGTGAATATATTATTTAATATACTCATAAGATACATTACTTTATTATATACATAATTAATTAAATAAGCATCTGAATATTTTAATCACTGTTATATACAAAATGTTTGCTTTTTTGATGAATTTTCTGTAAATAATATCACCTTCTATTAGTTTATGATTTGTTTGCATTAAATGACTAATAGTTATAAAATAAATATGCATTTATATTACAATAAAGTCTTAACAATAACAAAAATAATTTTTGGTAATTTTTTTAATAGAAGACAATTTGATAATATCAAACGGATTTTTAAAACGGTTGAAGAACTGCCTGGAAATATATGGAAAAATGTCAAAATACATTTTTTAGTTCCTGAAAATATAGCTAGGTATGATTATTTGGTAAAACTATATATTGGTTATTCAAACAATATGTAAATTATTATTATTTTTAGGAAATATGGAGCTATAGTATTCATATCATGTTTGCGTTTTGAAACATCCAAAAGAAGATTACAATATTTGACATTTTCTGATTTATTGCATTGTGCTGAGGTATACTGACATTCTATAAATATATTTTTATTTTTATCATTTAATTATTTTTCCTATATAGTCTATTATGTCGAACTGGACATACACACAAACTGGCTCAGACTATTTTGATACTGAAATGGATCGAGAATTTTTATTAGATTTAAGAGAAATAAGAGTTCTATCAGATAAAGAAAAAGAATTGAAGCAGTGAGTAAATAAATGAAAATTGATTTTGTTTGGGATTTACTTGCTAATTTATTAATTTTTAGCCTTATTTGCATTCGGTTGAAATCTGGTTTCTTAGAACGATCTTATCAAGAATTAGAGAGTAACTTCAGGTAACATAATAATTATCTTAATTAATAAAATAATTTGATAAAATTTTTATTTAGGCAAAGTGTAATAATAAAAATAAAAATATTGATACAGCTACGTTAATAAATGATAAAATAATTATTGTTTAAATGAGAGCGAATGAAATATTATTATGAGTATTATAACTTGAATACAAACTAGTATTTTCTTTTTACAGATCATATTCTCGATCCATAATATCAATAGGCTGCAGCTTACATAGAACTAGAGAATTGAGATGTTTATTTAATGAATTGTCAGAAAAATTAATTGAACCTTGGAGAAATGCAGGTTGGACAGATAATGAGGTGAAACTATTTCTGCCAACATATGCACAAAGTGCTTTAGATATGGATGTGCTAAAGTAATTTCCTTTAACTGAGTTAATGTATTATTATAAGTATGGCATTTTAGCAAAAATATCTTGTTTTAGGGATGCTGATTTAAAAGCAGCTTGGGATAGGTACATGAAAGTTATAAGCAGTTGTCTCATAAAAATATATCATGTATAGAATGCAGTGATTTGCAAAAATTTCGGTTTACACTAAGAATAGAAATAAATATATTTATGTGATTAATCTTGATGATTATAATTATTATATTTGACGAAAAATATAATAATTTCATTGATGGCCAAAGAGATTTTTTAATCATGGTTTGATTATCTTATGTAGTTAATAAAATAATATATTATTTTAGTATAAGGATTTAGATTTCTGTATTTATGTGTCATAACTTATCAGAATGTTTTAAGTTATAACTTTGATATTAAAAAATGTTACATTATTGTATGGTTATATATAATAGCTGTAATGTTTCATAAAAGTTTTAAAAACAATTATTTTTATTATTATATATGTATATTGGAAAGTGATTGAAATAATACCAATTAAAAACCATTATGATTTTTGTTTAAAATCCGGTTAAATATTTGCTTTCACACTTTATTTTTTCTCACATATTTTAACATCTTTAACATAATGATTTTGGTCATGGCAGTTACCAGAGCTGTAACCTTCATTTTTTAAATATCTAAATGTATATGCATAATGGTATAGTATGATTTTAAAATAAACATGTTGAATAATGTTATTCTTAAATGATGTTGTGACCAATATTTTTTATACCAGAATTCTGGTAGGAAATGCACATGCACCCAATACATTTAAATATGACCTTATATTAAAGAGTTAATTCAATTCAACTATATATTATAATTTCACTTCTTGTAAACACTATAAAATATTTTCCAAAAAAATATAACAATTCATTCCATTTTCTTACCTATTTCAAATTTACCACTTTTTTCTTGTATTGCCCCTAGTTCACCTATGTCAATGAACGTTACGTCCTGTCAAGGTCACCTTGATAATATAGTATTTTTTTGACAAGAGAAATCCATGTGTAAAGTTATGAAAAGTTCACTGCACGTACCAGACGAAAAATGAATGAATTGTAAATCGAAATTGCTTATTTATTTAAAGTGTGTCAGTGTTTAATTAATGTGAAAAGTTTTTCTATAATTTATTGTGAAACTGTAAGGCAGCAACAGGTAATATAAAAGTATTTTGGACATTTAAATATTTTTGCACAATGTTTTTGTTATCAGTGATACGCGGCGGCTTATCAGTTGGATAACAAGTTAGACAACATTATTTATTTAGAGTTTGTAAAAATTATTTTATAAAATTATTAAAGTTAAGTGAATGCTATTATTTATTTTATAATCATCAGTACATTTAAAAAAATCGTTTCTTTTTATAATTTCATTATAACAAAATTTTATATATCGTCATATATTTATTTTATGCATAGACATATAACTTTTCAATACCGGTTTCCAAACCGGCATCTTGTTAGTATTGTATAAATCAAGCCGGTAAGCACAATGCACATTACATGTGAAAGGAGCAGTAAAACACATTTGTTGTTTAAAATTTACAAATTTGTTATTTAAACATTTGTTATGACGTTTTTTGCATTGAGAATATTTAGTGAGAGAAATATTTAGTTTTTTTACATTGAACGAATCTCGGAAATCGGAAACAAAAATCGAAAAGTCCGAAACGGACGTTTAACATTTCCAATAGATTTGGCGCAAAGCAATGTAAGCATATTTTTTATTAATTTAATATATTTTTAACATATGTATTTTTGATAATTTTAATAATAGTTACTGAAATGTTTTTACATTTACAAAAATCATACTATAATAATCATCTTTTTTCATAATCAATTAATTGCATATGATTTATATTTTCTTTTTCCTCATACCTCCATTTTGAAAAATACGACTTTTTAGTTTTGATTGACACATTAAATTGTGTCAATAATAAAACATAATAAAGAACATTAATTTGAAAGTTCGCATTTATCTGAATATAAAAACAGTTGTTCTAATTAGAATTTTTTCTATTCAAAGATGAACAAATTGAATCATCATATAAACAAAAACTTAATTTTTATTATTTAACAATCCTAATTTCTATGTGCTGTTGGACTCGAACTGTTTTGTCCTTTATTTAGATGGCAACCCAATAGGTAACCCCTAGATCATTTAATAAATATTTCACCTATCTATATTTGATAGATTCTTATATAATATTTTTATCAGATCACATATTATTTAATTATACGCATCAAAGCCTGCGAAGAGCTACTTCAACTTGAAAACATATCTTAAAGTTAACTTTAATATGAATTTTTATTTATTTTATTATGAACTTTATATAAATTCATATTTTTAATTAGAAATGGATATCGATACTGCTTGATATCAGGTTGTCCGTAATAAGGATCGATTTCAATACGAACAAAAATTTGATTTTTTTTTCTAACAAAGTTTGAAAATTATTTCTTTAATTTGTTCTTTGTGTGATGAATGTCTGTTTGCATACATATATTAAAAATATGAATTCATATAAAGTTCATAATAAAATAAATAAACATTCATATTAAAGTTAACTTTAAGATATGTTTTCAAGTAAGTAAGTAAGTACAATATATTGTACGTTCTTAACAGTTTGATATTCGCTGGCTAATTTAAACCATAACAAACAGGTCAATCCAACATTTATTGTTACTAGATTTAAGCTATAATACAAAATAATTCGACAAACAATATTTTGACTATAAGTAGACAATGTTATTACATATCCAATTAAAAATATCCACACATACAAAATTGTGAGTTGTTATCTTTATCAGTGTTTGTTTTTGTCAATTAAATTTTTAATTAATATTTCAGATGATTGATAATAATTAATAAGATTTTTTCTAAAAACTCTTCATTGCAAAAATCTTTAAATAATTGTATTTGAATCGATAGGAACAAACATGTCCCGAAGATTTTATCGATCCGAATCAAATGCGGATTTATTAAGTTATTTGGATAGAGGACAGAGCGCTTGTAAGGAAAATAGATGGACGTTCGAAGTTGCTTGGGAAGCGGCTAATAAAGGTTTTAACTATATTTTAATTGAAGTTTATATAAAATAATTAGTGAATGATATGCTATAATATATTATCTATTTGCAGTCGGAGGTATTCATACTGTTATACGTTCCAAAGCATATGTATCCTGCGAAGAAATGGGTGACCAGTATTGTTTACTAGGTACCATAGATTATAAATATTATTCAAATTTACTAGAAACAATTTAGAAAATACTATCTCACTTATTCGAATCTAATAGATATTAATTTGATATTAAAATTGTTAGGTCCATACAAAGAACAATGTGCCAGAACTGAAGTAGAAGAAGCAGATTTTTCAAAAAATTCTTATCTTCACACTGCTGTTGAAGCTATGCGATCTAAAGGATTTAAAGTATTTTATTTTGTCATATTTTTTTAAAACTTAAAGTAATCAATCTTATATCCTTATCTATTATAATAAGGTTCATTCCGGAACTTGGCTAGTGGATGGCAATCCACAGATAGTACTGTTTGATATTGCTTCAGCAGCTTGGAAATTAGATGATTTTAAAAATGAATTATGGATTAAATCGAATGTTGGGATACCTCATCTGGATACTGAAGCTAATGATTGTGTTATTTTGGGTTATCTCGTTGCAGATTTTATACAAGAGGTAACATATTTTTAAACAATTTTCATTATATTATTTTTATTATATGCATTATTAAAATTTCAGTTCAGACAAGCATGTCTTAATAAGAATGGTGATAATAAACCCAAAATAGTGGCGCACTTTCACGAATGGCAAGCTGGTGTCGGCTTGATAGCTTTGAGGTAAATTTTATAATTTTTAATTTTTGTTTCCAAATTTAATTGCTGATACATTCCTAGAACTCGCCACGTTGAAATAGCGACAGTATTTACGACGCATGCTACATTGTTAGGAAGATATTTGTGTGCAGGAAAACTAGATTTTTATAACAATCTAGACAAGGTATAAAAATGTTCGAAATTATAGCACATTAGAGAACAAATAATAAAATTGTTGTACATTAGTTCTGCGTTGACGAAGAAGCAGGAAAGAGGCAGATTTATCATCGATATTGTATGGAAAGAGCTGCTAGTCATTTATCCCATATATTTACGACTGTTTCAGATATTACAGGTAAAATTTTATATTTTATATATTATAACTATTTTTTATTTATTTAGATTTAGTGTGGTTTGTATACAATTTAAATACTTTATATCAGTTTATTTACTAAACACATGCATGTTATATTCGTTAAATACATCTTTGTTGTTTATTGCATAAACATTTTTAAATATTAGATTTTTTTATTCTGCTCTTTTACTTTAGCTTATGAAGCCGAGAACCTGCTCAAACGTAAAGTAGATGTTATAACACCTAATGGCTTGAATGTTAAAAAATTTTCTGCACTGCACGAATTTCAAAATTTGCATGCCATTGCAAAAGAAAAAATACATCAGTTTGTTAGAGGACATTTTTACGGGTGAGATGATAATTTAATAATTTTTTATCGCAATAAAAATAATAATGAAATGACGTAATAATTGTCAGGCATTATAATTTTGATTTGGATAAAACCTTATACTTTTTCACTGCTGGTCGATACGAATTCACAAATAAAGGTGGAGATATTTATATAGAATCATTAGCAAGACTGAATCACTATCTTAAGGTAAATTTAATAAGTTGTTATTATAGTTATTATTTTTTTATATTAACACTAATGAATATAAGTTATTAGTGTTAATATAAAATATTATAATAATTAAGAATTCATTATTTATTATCAATTTTTAATTAGTCAACCAATTCTGATGTAACTGTTGTGGCGTTTATAATATTTCCGGCAAAAACAAATAATTTTAATGTCGAATCTTTGCGTGGTCATGCAGTTACTAAAAGTTTAAGAGACACATTGTCGGAAATCCAACAGCAGATGGGCAAAAGGATGTACGAAACTTGTTTAAGGTAATATTAAAAATGTATTTTTTTTTGGTCAATCCGTTGTAATTGTTGACTTAAATTTTTAAATTTTCAAAATAAAATACATAAAATTTAAATTACCAAAAAAAGTAAATAGTAATAGATTGTATTCTAATATAAATAACATTTTTATAGGGGAAAACTTCCAGAAGCTGATGATATGTTGACCAAGGATGATATTGTTAAGTTGAAGCGTTGTTTGTATGCCTTGCAAAGAGATGGGTTACCTCCAATAACAACACATAACGTGGTGATAAAATAAATTGTTTAAAATATTTTCACAATAAATATATTTAATAAATCTAGTCTTAATTTCGACAGGTTGAAGATTGGGATGATCCTGTTCTTGCAACAATAAGGAGATGCCAATTATTTAATACTGTTCACGACAGAGTGAAGGTTAAATATAAATACAACTATATTTTTTCAGGCATTGTTAGCTAATATTACGTATGTCTTTACAGATCGTATTTCATCCAGAATTTCTATCAAGTACAAATCCCTTGTTTGGACTGGATTATGAAGAATTTGTTCGTGGTTGCCATTTGGGCGTTTTTCCTTCATACTACGAACCTTGGGGGTACACTCCGGCAGAATGTACCGTCATGGGTATTCCCAGTGTTACTACAAATTTATCAGGTTAATCAATATAATATGTTTATTAATTATTGATAATTTATTTATACTAACGTTTTAAAAATAATTTTAGGTTTTGGATGTTTTATGCAACAACAGATAATGGATCCTCAATCTTACGGAATTTACATAGTCGATCGTAGATATATTTCTTTGGAAAGTTCTGTACAACAATTAGCACAGTATATGTATGATTTTACAAAACTTAATAGACGTCAGAGGATAATACAGCGGAATAGGACTGAAAGGCTGAGCGATATGTTAGACTGGAGAAATTTAGGAATAGTTAGTAGACATCTGAACTATATATTTAATATTTTTTTTTCCTTAATATTAAACGATTTTTTCTTTCAGTATTATAGACAGGCTAGAATCCGTGCTTTACAGAAAGTGTATACAGATTATGTAGATGAATCGGAAATTCAAGTGACTAGATCTTTTAAATATCCGAGGCCAATATCAGAACCACCAAGTCCTAGTTCGTCAAGTGTGTATAGATATACTATTATCATATTATAAATTATAGTTTAGTTTGTTCTTCATTAATCTCAATTGACACACATCCTTTCTATCTGATTATTTATAGGTATGTAGATAATTTTAGTTATTTATTCATGTTCATTTCTTTAATATGTTATATGTACTTTGTTCCAAAACGCTTCGGATTTCAACATTTGTTTGTTTCTTCAGATTTTGTAGGTATCTTCATAGTTTTTTCTTCATCGTTATAAATCATGGATTCTAGAAGTATTGTTCATTTTTTTCATAAATGTGTTTTTCTTTTATAGGGCCGACAACACCTGCCGCCTCCGTTGTTGGAAGCGAAGATGATGAAGTCGATGAAGAACTCGAGTTGAACGAATTAAGACTTGAAAATTAATAAAAATATTTATTTCAGCTTAGGTCTTACCGTCCATACAAAGTAGTATTATGTTGCATTTACTATGCATTCTGCTTTGAACATTATTATATCTGTAAGATGATCTTATTTACTGGTGCAAAGATACTCTATGATAATTTTAAACTTTTTACATTACTAAAAATATTTGATTATTAAATCGATTAAATTATCGTTTTGAGGCTATAGAAAATTAATATAACGAAGAAGGGATGAACAGTTCAGGCGAAATTATTTTATATTCTAGGCGTTTAGATGCAACTAAAATTATTGTCAGGGCAGTTAGATGAATGGAAAGATGTGGAATAACTTTAAAAATAAATTATAAAATTAAGCATTTAAACAAATTATTAATTCATATTCAGATATATATTTTTTTAAACCGATCATATTAATAATAATTACGATTACTAATTATCAAAATAACGATATTTAATTGGAAATAATAAAGATACTATAATGGTGAATCTGTTAATTATCGTCAATAAATTATTTATTATTATTTTTATATCAAAAGTAATATTAATATAAATAATTAAAATAATTCATCACTGTTAACTCGTAAAACTCCTTGTTATTAGTTTAAAACAATAGTTATTTTTTTATAAAATATATATTATAAAATGATACATTATTGTTTTTACTAGTCGTTAAAATTTACAGCTGAATTCCATGCATAGAGTTTCAAAACATAACCTGATATCTGTTTAGATCCTTATTTTTGTATGTGTATAATCAGTTAAAGTTCTAATATTAGATCAATTTTCTAATTTATTAGTATTTTTGATAGCATAGTGTAAGAAATTCAAGTTCCAAAATATTTATATAATAACTATATATGATACATTATCTATGTTTGGCACAGCACATTTTTAAATTAACGGATAATTAATTCGTTCTATATTTTTGTAACAGGATTTTTTCATGAAACGAACTGAAGATAATATTATAAAATTATCTGCATGTAGCAAAAAATATGCAGCTAAATAGTCTCATTTTTAACTGTTATTGCCGCAAGTAATCATCAATTTTTTTTGACTAAGCCAAGGATATAATTATACTAGCTGGATCCAAATGGTATGTTAAATATTTTTCAGTTCAAAATTTTACAACACTTTATAATATATAGCATCTTTCAACCATTTTCCATACGAAATAAAGAAGACCTAAGTAGAATGAGTATCGAACGATGCGATCTATTATTTTCATTCTGCAATAAAAATAGTATTTATTGATAATTGATCGATTTTGTTAAAAGATTGTACTTACCTTCTATATTGTTTTTCGGCTTTCCACATATCCTCAAGCTTTTCTTTCATTAAATATATTTTTCCACCTCTCACAGCTCGCTCAAAGTAATCTTCTTTATCCACATGTTCAAAATTAAAATCAAACGCAAGCCTTTGAAAATAATTTAAAAAATATTTCAAATTGAATTATTAATAAAAAGATATTATACACTTTTCTTTTTTATGATGTATGTACCTATCTTTATCAGGAATGATATCAATCAGAGAAATAAACTGGTCATTTTTGAAAATCCATGTTTGGGTCAAGAAATAATGCAATGCTTTATTAGCAATATAAACTTTTCTTTGAATTCTACTCAATCTGAAAAATAAGTTATTTTAATTTTGGGTCTTAAACTTGAGTTTAGTTACAGAATTTACATTGGCTTGTGTCCCAAACATTTCAATAAAGTGTCAATAACCAAAGCTGGCAGCAAATGGAGAAATAATACCTGAAAGAAAATTAAATTTACATTTTGATTTTGCTTAATAGGATGTCATCAGATAAACGAATTTAATGCAATATAAGCTTTAAATTTACCTTTGTATAATGTTCTATGTAGATATTTGTTAATTTACCACCAACAGTCCATATAGGATCGTCTACGAAATACTTTTCCGAAAATTTTAATCCCATATTAATTATTTCACCTATAGTAGCTTTTTTCAAATTACTTGAACTGCAGTTGTATATCGGAACTTTTTCGGTAGTAATTCTTTGAAAACAAAATTGGATTAACGGTTAGTATTGGGTTGTATGATTTAATTTTATTTAATATTGATATATTTTAGTAATAAAATAGTTCTCAAGATTACACAAAGTTGACTTAATCCTATACATTTGTGAAAATAGTATAGTGCATCAGCCTTTAAAGTTTGATCAATAAGCGAAACAGATGGAACCGGATTCCGTGAGTAGCCAAAAAAATTTAAAATATCAAATAAATGTTGCATGAAATTATTGCATGTTGTTTGCTGTGTTATTGAATTAGCTAAAAATTATCCAAAATATGTTCAACAAAATATATATATATATATATATATATATAATTATATCTATGTATATCATCAGTTATTTATAAACAAGTACCTTTAGTTTTTATTGAGGTATTTAAAACGTGTTTGAAATAGAAAAAATACATTTTTACAATTGCTTTTAATTCAGTTTAATTAGTGATATTAACATCTCGGGTACAGGACGGGCCTATCTGGGCAAATACCAATTTAAAACAAATATCAACAAAATTAAAACAACGTATAATTTACTATTAAATTATAATGATCATTTTCTAAACACTTATCTACGCCTTTCATATTTCAAGAAAGTTATTTGTATTTAATAATATTATTAATTTCAATAATTTCGGCTTTTACTCACTTTTCGAGTCCCCTTTTCCAAGCAGCGACTATCATTGCTTTTATAGCAATATCAACAGGCATAAAATCATTTACAATATTTTCATCGACGTAAATAGATCTTAAAACACCTTAAAAATAATATAATTTTTACTCATAATCAAAACAATAATTACTAATAATATGAACAATATAAATATATATTTATATTACCTTTTGCTGCTCCTATAACCATTCCCATTCCATAGGTCCATTAAAATTATCTACCCATCCCGGAACAGGTTCTTCATAGCTGGATATCACTAAAGTTATAAATAAGTTAATCGTTATTCAAAAACGTTATATTTTTACATTAAACAATTTTTACTAGATTTACCTATTGTGGGTCTAAATATTACTACTGGCAATTCTTTTGAATAGTCTTGAACAACG